TTTTTTTCCCCTCGTTAAGAAATCTTTCCGACGATAAATCTTTTTGTTTAAGAATTTTTATAATATTAATAAAGTAGCAGGAGGGATGATTAATTAACTCCGACTCGATAATTATCCTCGGCAATATTCTGCGCTTTATCATCTCCGGATTTTTATCAAATAATATATACGCGATTTGTGTGAAACGCGCGACGTTTACGCCGATTGACGCAGGTAGAAACCAATCTTCCCTCCTACCCCCCTTCCCCCAGCATCATCCCCTCGTACAATAGAGAATAGATGTAACGAATGTAACGACGACGATGAAAAACGAGGTAATAGATTATTGCTTTGTCGGGGAGGGACGGGGCATTCACTCGGGAACTCGATGCAGCTCCTCTTTTTTTTTTTTTTCTTCCCTCGACGCATCGATGTCCCGCGGATGCTCTCCCTCGCGAGTGTATATATTATGGAATCGTCGGGAGGAAGAATTACGGATGTATCCTTCCCGAGACTCTCCGACGTCCTCGATCGTTCGGAGTTCGTATCCCCTCCGCTCCTTCGAATTTCACCTTTTTATCGCGAGAAATATTTCCGAGACCGAAGGGGTTGCGTCCCGAGAAGGAGTTAAAACGAAAGTACAAGGGATGGAGACATCCCTTAACCAATATCAACGCTAATCAAAATAAAGAGAGACATCACTGCCAAATGCTTCGCACTTATTTCGGGCGCAGCGATTTCGATCTCTCGGAAATTCGATCGATTTTTTTTTAATTTTTTTTTTTTTTTGAGAGAAGGATACGAGAAACCCTCTTTTCTTGTGAAGAGAAGAGGACGGGGTTTTTTTTCTTTTTCATTTCTGGAGAAAAGGAGGTTTGCGATATGATATTCTGGATTTTTTGCGGAGAAGGGGGACGTAATATTGCTGATGAATTGCGATCGAGATCGAAGGAGGATATCGGGTAATCCGTAACGACGATCGTCCGAACCGACAACCTGTTATATCTCGCTGTTTACCGATTCGCTCGGGGATTCCGGGTTCGCGGATGGACAAGGATGCGACGATATCCCGAAATTTCGGACTTATTGAAATTTTTTGTTTGCGCCCTCCCGGAATTCCGGCCTTCGGTTCACGGCTATTTGTTATTTACGCCGAAATCTGTTAGTTTTTTTGTTCTTACATATTAGTGTGTTGAAATGGAGAACGGGAATGGTACGTGGTGCAGTTGCATTGTTCTTTTTACCTCATTTCTTTTTTTACGGAAAGGAAAAACAGGGAAAGAAGAGAGAGAAAGCGAGCGAGAGAGAGAGAGAGATTCGGCAAGCACGAATGTTACGCACGTCTTTTTCTTTTTGTAAACTTTTGTAACGCGCCTGTGAGAACCTCGGACGATCCACGAAATATGTAATCATGCGGATATTTCTCAGAAAATTCAGAGGGAACGCTGTCAAAATTGCACAGCACTAGAGATAGAAGATATGACACTACGGTCAATTCTAATGATGAGATTAATCACACTCGGTATATTTGTAACAATTAAAATAGTCATCTGTCAGTGACTTTTGCAAATTGAAGAGTGTCAACAAACGTCACGTTGACCCTATTATGCGCGATTACGCCATAATTGATATCAATTGGGATCGTGGATCGAGGCGAAGCACAGCGCGAAATATTGAAAAGAAGAACAATTCCTCACGTAAGCAAAAAAAAAAAGAAAAAAAAAGATTGTGGTTATCATAGAAAAAAAAATAGAGAGAGAGTGAGAATGAGAGAGAGAGTGTGTAAGGGATGAACGAGAAAATAACGGGCATACGCAGGTGAATCAGGATTAATCGCAAATCATTAACTCTGTGTAACTCTAATAAAAAAATCTATTTGAATGTAAGCGCGTTAAAAAAAATGCTATTAAGGAGAACAGTATATATAAATATATATATGTATATGATAAAAAAAAAGAGCAACCGCGCGCGGGCGGGTCAGGTAAAAGGAAGCAGATAATTTCGCGAGTGGAGAGAGAGAGAGACCTCTCTTCCCTCTCCGCTTGTTTCTTTATTTGTTTGTTTGTGACAAAGGTAATCTATTTAGACAAAAACGATGGGAGAGACGCTTCGAGTCTAACGGTCGAGCGAAGGAGAAGTACATTTGCATGATAAATTAGATAACATTGCGACAATTTTTAGACGCTCGATGAAGGGGACGTTGAACGGGAGAGATTTTGATTTTCGAGGGAAAAAACACCAAACCTTCCAAGGATCTTCAATTTTTATACCTGATGAATTTTTTATACGAAAACTCTTGAAAACTTTCGAAATATTTTGAATAATAGAAATATCGTAGTATACTTTACAAAGGTCTTGTAACGTTTAAGAAATATATACATATATTATATCGCGAAAAAAGGATATCTCGCGAGCGATTTATATACAGATATATATATTTATACAAGCCGTGCGTACTTTCCTCGCGTCGAGAATCGCGATCAAAAAGTCTCCCTCGAAGCTCCCATCGTTCGGCTCTCGATCGGATATTTTCGTTTTCTTCTTCCAACTACCGCTTGCTATCAGTAATCTTAACTGTCCGAGAATGTTTACACACACGAACGAGAGAATTCGGCAGATACAGAGATGTAATGCGAGTGAAAAAGAGAGAGTGAGAGAGAGAAAGAGAGAGAGAGAGAGAGAGAGAGAGTGAGCCTCGAAATCCTTCCGTCACGAAACGCTCCCGTCAAAGGGAATCACATCCCCATCCGAAAATCCTCCCTTCTGATAGAACACACAAACCACGTATATATTTACGAGGGCTCCCCTTATAAAATAGAAAAATCCTTATTTCCGTATTTTTCCGAAAAATTCTAATTTTCCACCGTCTTCATCCCCTTGTTTCCCCCTCCCCCTTCCCCTTTGAATTTTCACGCGCAACGATTTATATATCGGACACTATTACATGTAATCAACAAGCATTTCTCTCGGAATCATTTTCTTCCCCCACTTCGCGCCGACAATTGGACGATTTCGTATTTTCGGATACGCATAGCGAGCAGTTTGTTTCTTTCGGAAACGCATGTAATCACGAGGACGAGGAAGTAATAAGAAATCGATGTGTAATGAGTTTATGTGTAACGTTCAATTGAGAATTGTATGTAATTGTATATATATAAGTACAATGCAGTTCGTGAGTTAAGATACATTCTCCTTTTTCTACCATGAGAAAAATAAATTATTCTAGTTAATAAAAGAGGATTTGTATTTTTCCGTATCGTTCCTTCGCCATCGTTTCCATTATTATTCATGTTAATTACTTGTAATGCGTTAATTTCGAGCATGTTAATAATTTTCGCTTATTTCTTTCAACGGGATATTTATAGATTTATTTTTTAACGATTTATCGAAAAAAAAGGCTCCAAAAATTGCCGATGAAAATTTGTTTGCACAGAAGAAACCTTATAATAAAAATGACATTTTTATTACTGTGGTTTGATCCTTTTTATGTCTTGATTTTCTTGATTTAAATCTCTTTTTCTTAAAAATAATAGAATATTGTACATTTTTTCTAACACAAGATATAAATTTTCTATTTTATCGATTCTCTTTCTCCATCGTAAAAATTCTTATCGAAAAGAATTATTAATTAATTGCTTATTATATAAGTTTATTTAAAAAAAAAATTAAATTTATATCTCTTTTTTAAGAATTTATTCTAAATTAAATATCACGAAGAGAATAATTTTCCAAAACAATGTCAATTATTCATTGATCGACGATTAGATAATTTTTTGATCCTATATAAAACATGGCCAATTTACAGAGACGATCGATCGACGAAAATAACGCCGGCGTTGACCTTTCGCTCGAGATATGATACAACGAGGTTGAAATAAACGAAATCGGTCAAGAATAATTACACGAATATGGATTTCCGATCACTTTAATACATATTACATCCAGTTCGACGACGCATAATATTAAAGAGACAGAGATGCCAGATGGGACAGAGTTGTTTGCATCTAAAATAAATAACATTATACATATTGTATATACATGAGTGTCTAATTAAGATGCATAAATATTACATTGCGCAAAGCCCTCGAGTTAATATTCAAACTCGATAATACTCGAATTGATGTCTCGACCGAGCTTTGTTTACGTCTATTTTATCGACGATATTCCATGTATTCTATGTATTGTATACATATTTTATCGACTCGAATACAATTATTCGTTATTGGGCTAATTGTAAGATTTTAACGAGAATTGTCTCCTTGTTAATTATTTAGTCTTTCATTTATAATTATCATTTTAATTGGATCTAAAATATTCTAAACGTAATCACAATTTCGATCCTAAGTGATTGTTCCTTTCTAGAGATAGTATTAACTGTAAATAAATTAACAGACATGTATATTAATTATAATATTAAAATTATTATCTCAGAAAGGAGCAAAAAACCTACAATCGGACTAGGTTCAATGTCTTAATCTAAATCGATCGCGTAAAATGTCGTTCTGCGACTCCTGAAAGTCGCAGACACTTGTTCCTCTATATTAACGACATATAGGGTGATACAATAATAATGATGTCAATAACCATAATCGCGATTGTTACATTGACATTCGACAATCTCGAGTGATTTCGATCAATAATTGCAATAATTAATTAATACTATTATAATCAATACATCAATCGGATAAATTTCAATCTGCTTTCGAGATGCTTTGACATTAATTATTTCTCGAAAATAATTTGACATTAATTATTTGACATTAATTATTTCTCGAAAATAATTTGACATTAATTATTTCTCGAAAATAATTTGAGTATCTTTTTTTTAAATAAAATAAATATAGAGTTTTTTCAGCGTAAGCATATGTTTCTTTCTATTTCGACCTCAAAGTGACACTTTTATTCTTGAGACAGCTATCGAAAAGACTGTACATTTTCAATAATAAAACAACGAATCGATTAAAACACCCTCGTAGGATTAAAATAATTCGTGTAATTATCTTCGATGCAGCCAAGACGGTTGATAGCATCAGAATTTCTTAATTATCTCCGGGGAAGATTTACTACTGGGATCGACAGAATCCTCGATAGGGTGTCTATCGATGACAAGTGTCGATAATTAAAAAAGTACACGCGATATAAAGGTCGAATATTGATTTAGGATGGCCTGAGGGCGCCGACCATGTCGCCCAGCAATCGTTCCACGCTGACGTCACCGACCGTCGGTTTGAATAGCAGCTCGTGGAGGGTAGCTCGACAGAGGGCGCGTGCTGGGGGTAAAAGCAGCAACAGCCGACCCACCCTACGCGCATCCCTCTCGCAAAACACCGCCACCGTTTGCTCCTGCAACGCCGACACTCGTCCCGGCTCGCAGAGATTTCGTGATTCTACAAACGATAAAGAAGGTATTTTTTTAAGAGAATTTGATAAAAAATACAAGTTACTCTCTAAAAGTGAATCAGTGTATTATCACTGAAAAACAGTAAATAGTCATTGAGTAACAGCAGTTATAAGTACAGCACTGTAAATCAGTGATATTTTATTGAAAGAATCAGTTAATAATTTTGACTGTTTCAATCAGTAATATTTCTCAGTAATATTTCTTTCGTTATTGTCAGTAATATTAAATTATAATTCATCTCTCTATCTATTTCATATAAATTAAAAATTTTATTTATATTTACTAAATATTTATTATATTAAAAATTGTATTTTATTTATATTACATGCATATTGAACTTGTTATTTTAAATAGATAACGAACGAATAATTTTCATTAAGTCGCCAGACATTTATTTGTCGGACTTATAAAGATCGATTTAATATCTGAAGCCTCTCTATGAGATTGTATCAGAAATTAAATCGGACTAATACTTCTAATTTTAAATGTCACTCTTTGCAAACTTTATATAATTCTTATAACTAAAATTAAATAACGAGAGAGATAGCGATTGTAACGGTAAATGAACGAACTACTGATTATTGGTTTTACAGTAAAATTTACTGATTTTACAGTGAATTTTATTTTAACTGACCATAATCAGTGAGATATAAGATAAAATAACAAAAAAATAAGCGTTTCCACCGAAAATCAGTAAAATACTCACTGATTCTCAGTGAAATCTTATTTTACTGTTTAAATTAGTGATATTTTCACTGATTCACTTTAAAATTATTTTTTAGATCAAATTGATTCGCCATTATAATTATTGTATCGAGATAATTTATATTAAAAATTTTGAGATATAAAAATTACAAAATCTGATGTATTTTGCAATTAAAGTCGAATATGTTTGTAATATAAAAAATATAATGCAATATAAAGAAAATATAATAACACATATTTTATTTTTAAAATGTAATAAATTTTAACATATATTTTTAAAATATATTATATTAAAATTAATTAATATAATATAATTAAGAAAAAGATAAATAATAATATATAAAAGTATAAACTATGTAACGTAAAAAAGACTGGAGCTGAGAAAGAAGAAAAATACATCGAATCAAATTAAATCAAATTATTATTTATAATCGTGAATATAAAATGATAATTTAATCTTGACTCAACAATCTTCTACCTGGATATATATTTTTCCTAAGCAAATTCTAGTTACGAAGCATTTCATAAAATTTTGACGCAAATATATTATATTAAAATTAATTAATATAATATAATTAAGAAGAAGATAAATAATAATATATAAATAAAAGTATAAACTATGTAACGTAAAAAAGACTGGAGCTGAGAAAGAAGAAAAATACATCGAATCAAATTAAATCAAATTATTATTTATAATCGTGAATATAAAATGATAATTTAATCTTGACTCAACAATCTTCTACCTGGATATATATATTTCCTAAGCAAATTCTAGTTATGAAGCATTTCATAAAATTTTGACGCTAATATATTATATTAAAATTAATTAATATAATATAATTAAGAAAAAGATAATAATATATAAAAGTATAAACTATGTAACGTAAAAAAGACTGGAGCTGACAAAGAAGAAAAATACATCGAATCAAATTAAATCAAATTATTATTTATAATCGTGAATATAAAATGATAATTTAATCTTGACTCAACAATCTTCTACTTGGATATATATTTTTCCTAAGCAAATTTTAGTTACGAAGTATAAAATTTTGACGCTCCTGGTAAGAGTGAAGAGCAACATTAAATGGAGTCAGACGACAATCGACGTGATAATCGAAGGTACTCACCCGCCTTGAAGAGGACTATGGCCTTCAAGCAGGCGTATTCTGAATGATCAACCCTCAGCGCGACGCATTTTGCTAAAAGCTCCCTCAGTCTCCTGGCTTTGTCGAGGAGAACTTCCCTTCGTTCTATCGGCACATCCGTAGGCACCAGGGTGCTCTCGTCCACGGGGAAGCTCCACTGTGCCGCTGTCAGTACAAACAACTCGCTCCACGACTCCTCCAGAAGGATAGTTTGGTCTCTATAAGGGAGCTTACGAGAAAAAACGCATCGATGTAGTGATTTTTTACCATCCCCAAGTAAAAGGACTATGTAATGTTTCTCCTCAATCTATTTCCTCTACAATTATGTATTTTTTTTTTTATTTAAAAATTCATTTTGTATTTTATATTATTTTTTTCTATCACACATAAAATTTTATCCTTATAAAAGAAAATTGTGTTTTAGGAATTTTACTAAAAGGGAAGGGATACTTGTGGAGCTTACTTGCAGGAAGGAGTGTATACTTCTCGCCCACCTCACGGCGAAGAAAAGTAACTTTGCCGCGAACTCGTAGATATTTTCGGTCGGCAGGAGTGATAAGCCTTGCATCATGTATTCTGATGAAATGGAAGTGATGACTGGCGGCGCCAGACGCGTATTCGCTAATTCCTCTACGATAAATAAAAAATAATGTTACGCATCCATGATAGGAGAGATGGCTGTATGCAATTCACACATACCTTTCGATTCGATTCTAATGTCGACAGTGGCTGCTTCCTCGGAGCTGGTCACTTCATCCTCCTTGGCAGTAGTCATAGACAGAGATTCCGGGGATGGTCGTGGTAAGAAGTGTGCTATCGATACAATATGACATTTTATTTAAAAAAAAAACATCACATACAGTGTCCCAAAAGTCCCGGACCGGTCGAATATTTCATAAACTATGCACTTTAGAAAGAAATGTTTCAGACAGAAGTTGTATGGCTTGAAGGGGGCCATCAGATAGTGGCAATGATTTGACATGGGATAGTCATTTGAAAGTCACGTGAAGATCACCGTCGATTTCTTAAATGGAACCCCCTATTTTTTATTACATATTTGTGTACCTTATCTCGAGAGCTTTCCAAAACACTATAATAAAGTATTTTTTCATTGAGTACTTTTCGAGTTATGAGACTTGAAATCATTTCTTAATTTTACATAAACCATAAAATATCTAGTAAAATATTCATTTTTCGATTATCTTACCTTCATACTTTTATGTACAAAATAATGAAAGGAATCAATTGGTGTAAAGAAAACACATAGTTGTTTAAAAAAAAAAAATGTAATTGTTAATTGCAAATTACATATTTTTTTCTTAAAAACAACTATGTTTTTTCTTTACACCAATTGTACATAAAATTATTAAGATAAGATAATCGAAAAATGAATGATTTCACAAGATATTTTACGGTTTATGTAAAATTAAAAAATGATTTCAAGCCTCATAACTCGAAAAGTACTCAATGAAGAAATACTTTATTATAGTGTTTTGGAAAGATCTAGAGATAAGCTACACGAATATGTAATAAAAAATGGAGAGTTCCATTTAAGAAATTGACAGTGATCTTCACGTGACTTTTAAATGACTCTCCCATGTCAAATCATTGCCACTATCTGATGGCCCCCTTCAAGCCATACAACTTTTGTCTGAAACATTTCTAAAGTGCATAGTTTATGAAATATTCGACCGGTCCGGGACTTTTGAGACACCCTGTATATGTACGAGGGTGGATTGAAAAGTCCGTGCGAAAATGAAAACTACTAATTTTTCAGAATAAATCTTTTTTATTTTTAACGTAGTCTTCTTTTAGACTTATACACTTCGTCCAACGCTACTCCAGTTTGTTGATCCCTTCCGAATAATAGGATTGCTCCAACTCTGCAAAATAGGCATTCGTTTACGCAATTACCTCCTCGTTTGAATAAAATCTCCTTCCCAGCCATTTGTTCATATTGGGGAACATATAGTAGTTCGAGAGAGCCAAATCTGAAGAATAGGGAGGATGCGGAACGAGTTGGAACCTTAACTTCATCAATTTTGCGGTCAAATTCTCTTTCATCCATTTTTTGGAAATCACTCGACTTCCTCGATTCAAAAGAACGCCAAACATAAAGAAATAGACCGATCTAGCTGAAACTTGGTGTGTGTTCTTCCAAAAGATGCTACTAACTGAAAATAACCTCGATACACACCAGTGATGCCAGTGATGTCTCTCTGAATTTGCACGGATTTTTCAAATCATCCTCGCATATTAATTTTATATAATTATTATTATATTACTTACCGACTGACGGAGTGAATGTTGATACCGTAGGCTTGAAAGGGAACAGTGCGGGATACAGAAGAGGATGATAAGCGGTACCCGCAGGATGATAGACGTTAGAAATTCCTGTATAAAGTCCTGAGGGTGTCCTTCTCGCCGCCGAAACGAGAGAGGACGTGCTTCTCGGCGCTCTCTCGTGTTGGACGGCTAAAAGCGAGAAGGATAATCAAAATTCCACTTAACAATTAATCTTGAAGGTCTATCAAATCGAATTGATAGAATCAATAATATACAGAGTGTCCCAAAAGTCCTGAACCGATCGAATATTTCATAAACTATGCACTTTAGAAAGAAATGTTTCAGACAAAAGTTGTATGGCTTGAAAGGCCATCGGATAGTGGCAATGATTTGACATGGGATAGTCATTTGAAAGTCACGTGAAGATCACCGTCAATTTCTTAAATGGAACCCCATATTTTTTATTACATATTTGTGTAGAAAAACAATTTTTCTTACACGGGAATCTCACATCTAAATGAATATTGTTTGAGAATAAGAGCTATTAAGAGCCAAGGCGGATGGTAGTGCGTGAACTTAAAATGATTAGTAATTCGCGAAAATTAAACCGCGTAATTATTGAAAAATTAATGACATATGCCTATATTTTACTTGGTGCATAAAGCCAAGATATAGGTTTCTATCAGTAACTTGGTGCATAAAGCCAAGATATAGGACGTACGTCTCTTCAGGAGGGTTAAGAGGGGTCTTATAGTGTGTTCTCGGATTTGAGAAACCTATATCTTGGCTTTATGCACCAAGTAAAATATAGGCATATGTCATTAATTTTTCAATAATTACGCGGTTTAATTTTCGCGAATTACTAATCATTTTAAGTTCACGCACTACCATCCGCCTTGGCTCTTAATAGCTCTTATTCTTAAACAATATTCATTTAGATGTGAGATTCCCGTGTAAGAAAAATTGTTTTAATACATAACAGAGCCTTAATTTCTTTATCTAGTTACTAATTTGATATTTGTGTAGCTTATCTCGAGAGCTTTCCAAAACACTATAATAAAGTATTTCTTCATTGAGTACTTTTCGAATTATGAGGCTTGAAATCATTTCTTAATTTTGCATAAACCATAAAATATCTAGTAAAATATTCATTTTTCGATTATCTTACCTTAATACTTTTATGTACAAAATAATGAGAGGAATCAATTGGGGTAAAAAAAACACATAGTTGTTTAAAAAAAAAATATGTAATTGTTAATTGCAAATTACATATTTTTTTCTTAAAAACAACTATTTTTTCTTTACACCAATTGATTTCTCTCATTATTTTGTACATAAAATTATTAAGATAAAATAATCGAAAAATGAATATTTCACAAGATATTTTATGGTTTATATAAAATTAAGAAATGATTTCAAGCCTCATAACTCGAAAAGTACTCAATGAAGAAATACTTTATTATAGTGTTTTGGAAAGCTCTCGAGATAAGCTACACGAATATGTAATAAAAAATGGAGAGTTCCATTTAAGAAATTGACAGTGATCTTCACGTGACTTTTAAATGACTCTCCCATGTTAAATCATTGCCACTATCTGATGGCCCCCTTTAAGCCATACAACTTTTGTCTGAAACATTTCTTTCTAAAGTGCATAGTTTATGAAATATTCAACCGGTCCGGGACTTTTGGAACACTCTGTATATCTTTTGTATATATTATATTTTCGTCGTAAAAGATATTATAATAAATTAAAATATGTTATTCCTTCAAAAATAAAAATTTCCGAATCTTTTAAAGATACGTCTATTTTTAGGGACTTTGAAGATCTTTCGATAGATTTTTGACGACTTTTACAATTTAAACAAAATTTTCTGAATTTTCAGTGAATTATTTGGATGAAAATTCTGTGGAAAATCCTAGACTTTTTCGAAAAACACATCTAACGATTCCAAATAATTGCGTCTTTATGCGAGAGAGAAGGAGAAGCGCAATGGCCCTTTAACGGCAGAGCTGCCGCCTCTCCCTTCGCTAATTGATATCTCAGCAATCAAGTGTTTGGATTATCGCTCGACGAGGAAAGGGGACCGGGAAGAAGGTGTTTACAAAAGCTGTGAACGCCAGGCTGCTTCTGACACCGCTTGCTATCGGATCCTGCCGTTCGGTAAGCAAAAATATAGAGTTTCATGTGGACGCGATGTTCATGTGTGCGTGCGTGCTTCCCTTTTTCCAAACTGTTTCCCATACGCCGAACAAACGTTACTATGCATTGTAATATCCGACACTTTGCTCTTCTTTTCTCTCTCTCTCTCTTTTCACTTTGTGGACGTATTCTTATTTTACGGAGCAGGCTCCAAAGAGCTTTCAAGTTGCGTCAAAACGCGCATCTTCCAAATATCGCTACAGAATGAAAGATTCGTTCCATAATACACAGCTGATATCGACACGAATAGATTGTATCTATTATACAATTTAATAATACAATAAAATAAACGTAAAAAAATAAGACTAGATTTCAGTTCTAAATTTGCTTCGTATCATGTCATAATTTTGAATGCAATAAACTTTTCCAACATATCTCTATATCATAATATGACAAAATATTAAAATAGTCCTCCCTTAATTATAAGATTTTTGAAGTAATGACATGATGGAATATCTTGTGATCAAAAAGCTATGGAAAGTGACTTGTGTTTAAAAAAAACTTCCTTTTTATTGAACTGTGTTACTTTTATCGTCTTATAAAAAATTTAGTTTAGAAGAGATAGTTAGAAGAGATAATTAATTAATCATTGTTTCCTCTTAACTTTGATAAAATATCTAATATCTACATTTAATATCCAAATTTTATAATGATTTTGCTTAATATATTTCGAAAATCAATTTGCTTGAAAATGAAAGAATCGTTCCGGAAATATTAATTCATTTGAAAATGGAAGAATCGCGTCGGAAATATTATATAATGCGATAGCTTTATATTATGCAATAAAAATATTTTAATTCCTTTAAAATTATACTTTTTTCGTCTGCCACTTTTTCAAAAGCACAATCGTATATTTTAAATATATTTACAAAATTTCAAGATAATATATTTTTGAGTTAATGTTAGGTAATACCAAAGATAGGTATTTTCTCTTCTTTCTTAATTTTTACAAACATTTTTCTATATATATAATTATAGACAAATATTTAAATAAAAATGAAGGTAGAAGCTCAAAACTCGAATATATTAGAATATATCGCGATTAATCTTTATTCCGTATGTTATCATTTTTTATTCCACCCATGTTTTCATAGCGATACACTTGGAGCACTTTGCTTTATATATTTGCAGTAAAAATATATCAAAGCAAATTATTTCGCTAATTTATTATTCTAGCTTGTATTTAGAAGGGTCAAAGCAATATGAATTTTTTTACATTTTTGGAACATTTTTACTCTTTGAAAAAGACGTTGAACAAAAAATGATAGCCTTGTACACTTTGAAGGTGTCAAAAATAACAATACGATGTAAGAATTAAAAATGAAAAATAAATGTTATGCAATGTATATGATTTTTGCCATCATGCTCTTCTGTGATAAATTTCGACAATAATTTCTGAAGTCTATTAATCGAGGAACAGAGCCATACCATCTCGTTTCATGTTGACCTGAAGACATTTTGTGAAGCGACAAGCTTGGCATTGATTGCGCCGCGAGACGTCCACGATGCAACGTCCGTTCTCTTTGCACACGTAGTCCAAATTCCTGCGCACACAATCCTCAAAAATAATCTCTAATCTCAAATTTACGCTTTCTATATTTCTATAATTTCATGGATAATGTAAAAATAATAATATCGTATAAATTTTTAATATATTTCTTATACTGTATCTATTTTTAATTTTATATTTTTTTATTTGATACTTTTCAAATAATCAAGATATTGATAATAATCATTTAAGAAGTTGTGTTTCTCATTTTTAATTGTATTTTTCAATTATGATTATTTTATTTAATTATTATTTAATTAAAATAATAATATTATATAATTATTAATATAATAATTTATATAATTATTAATATGATATAATAATTATTATTATTTGAATTATTATTGAATTATTATTTTTTATTTTTAAATGCTTTTTATAGTTAAAATAAAGTATTATATGTGAGTCATATACTTATATTAAGTAAAGGGAAACGTGCGACTGTAAACGATATTTAATTACAACGGAAATAAGCGACAGAAAAATTGAGAGGCGGATCTATAATATCTATAATAACATCATTTTGTAATTTCAGTTTAAGCTCGAGCTTAATTAAGCAGGAATTTAATTACCTCGCGTACCTGCGGATTGACCGCTTGAAGAAACCCCGGCATCCGTCGCAGCTTGGTACACCGTAATGTTTCCCAGAAGCTTTGTCCCCGCAAACCTTGCACAGCGTCTCTCCACGTCCGTTTTCCTCCATTTTCGTCGCCCTGTTTGCTGAAAAAATTTATTTCATTATTAAGATATTAATATTAACATATGTTTGTCAATAGATTTAAGTTTGGAAACCACGCGAAGACAATTCAATATAAATTAAATTCGAATTTATTCGAATCAAGAATTCAACTCTTTGTGAGACACGTGAAATGAAAAGTCTAATTATCGAATATAAGCAATATATATGCTTTATGAAGCAATAAAATGTTTTTGATTATTTTACGGAACACAAATTTTTATTATTTTGAAACTGATTTTTATTATATTGTAAGATAGAACATTGTGTAAAATGTAAAATGTATAGAGAGTTAAAACTAAATTTCTGATGCAATACTTTTTATTACTTAAAAAAGTTATATATTAAATAATAATATTTTTTATTACTTAAAAGTTAAGCTTCTTTGATAAAATTATTTAAAATTAAAAGTAAGCATTCTTTCAAACATTTTATACTTATCATTTCTAGATTATAAAAAAAGATTTTTAAAAATTTATTCTTTGCAAAAGTACACATCCTAACTCAAAAACTGAATTTTATCAAACTCAAGCAGAAAAATAGAAATTCGAAAACAGTAAATCGTATAAATGCAAAATGATAACTGTAGGAATAAAAAAATAGCTATTCTTCTATCATAAATAATTTCTTGAGGCTGAATCTTGCCTATTATGTAGGTAAGTACGATTATTTAAAGCGCCACTATTGCTTTCCTACTTCAATATCTATGGTAATTTTTCATTTTAATTTAGTTATTAAAAATATTATTAAAAATAATACTATTATTCTACTAAATAAAAGAAAAGAAAATTATTTTACTTAAAAAAAAATTTTTATATTTATGTTAAAAAGTATTTTTTCTGTTTCCCATAAAATTTGCCATATTTTTTTTAATGATACTTTTAACTTCTTCATTCTCGAAGAAAGTTAACCGAGGAAAGGAAAAGACTCGAGATCGTTAAAATCGAAAAGCCATATCTCCCTAAATAATACGAATATGCGTAGTATTGCATTTCGAGCTTTAAAGTGACGATGGTGATGCGAATCGCCGATCGAAGTAGAAAGCAAATTGCGCGATGAGTCACCGACTCACGGGCAGCAACTCCGACGAGTGCCTCTGGATTATGCATCGCGTTACGACGAGAGGTGCATTACGCGCGTAGGACGAGCGTTTCGCCTCATTATCCGGCACTCTTTGCATATTGCACGACGTAATGCGACAGAGGTAGCTAGAGGATCGCTAAACATCGCTGTTCGATTTTGCGACTGGATGGCTTTAAGCTCGCCGATTATTTCGCGCGATCGATCGATCATGTCGCTTGTCCGTCCGCTGTTTTAATGAGCCGTCTCTATTATGCGTGATCGACACCTTGTTTAAAAGCGTCGCTTTAAAAGCGGTCGAGCGAAGAAATACAATTTCTGATATTTTACTTAAACGAACATATTTGTAAATTTGATAAATATATGACGTTGTTTATGTTTAAATATACTAAAAATTATTTAAAATTAATAATGTGCTTTAGGATTAATAATGATAAAGTTTTCCTAAGTAATCAATGTGATTAAGCGTTTTCCATTAATTTGAATCTGATCGTAATTGTCATTAAATAATTATTCTCTCTCGAAATCTTGATTGAATTTCGTCCCTTTAGCTATGTAATGTCAAAATTCTTAATAATGTAAAAATTAAAAACTTTGTTTAATTGAGTACATTAATAAATTTATGATGTTATTTGTGTTCAAATACACTAAAAATTATTAGGTATCAATCATTTCAAGTATTAATAATATTGATCAAATTTTCTTAGGTGATCAAGTATTTTCTTATAATTAATTTGAATCTGATCTGATTTGAATAGATTATTTATCTTTATTGTAATTTTTTCGACATACGATTATTCAATGTATGATATATATAATTGTGTATTTATGAAAATTACAATGGTGATAAGTCTATTATAGATAATTTTTCGATAAATAATAGACATATCACCATTGTAATTTTCATAAATATACAATTATATATATATATATATATATATATATATATATATATATATTGTATATCGAATAATCGTATGTCGAATAATAGACTTAACGAATTATCTATAATTTTTCTTACTAAAGCTTTAGAATTAAGTAGGAATAAATCGATGAAAAGAAAGAGAGAAGAAATCTTTAAAGTTAAAGTTTCATGGATTTATTCAATAAAATAAAATTCACATTTTAATATAAAAATTAACGAGCACATTAATAAATTTCATAAGTATATATTTAATAAATTTAAATTTAAAGTATATGAGTTTTTAAATGAAGAGAACCCATAACTTAAGTGAAGAAAATTCTCAAAAGTTTAATAATTTAAATCCCCACCAGAATTATTTTTTCTTTGCTTTTCTTATTAAAGAATCAGTGTCTTAAGATTTTCAAAAATAAGGAATTCGTAATAATAGTAAAGAAAGATTATTAAAACAAAATATATATAAATTTTTACTTAAATATATATAAATATACATAAATTTAACATATTTTTACAGACCAATAGATGTACATAATAATTGTATGCCTTATTATCGAGTATTTATTCAAAATTATCTCGAAATTGAATATCAGTAAAGCCCCCTCCCTCATTTATTAATACAAGAATTAAAATATTAAATGTAATATTAAGTGTTATATTAAATATAAAACCCTCACCTATTAATACAAGAATTAAAATATTAAATGTAATATTGAATAATAACTAGAGCTACCTTGAAACCTGAAATGGAAACAAAGAGACTCGAAACCTGAAATGGAAACAAAGAGACTCGAACAATCCTCGTTCTCTTCTTCATCAAATATTACGATCGAAAGATAATAAATCGAAAGGAAGATGATGCGCGCGGAAAACGGATTAAAGAATGAAAAAAACGGGGACGATCGCGATATACCTCTCCCTTCCTACGAGAAGAGCTTACGATTTCACGGTGACGCGCCGCATAAATGGCCGGCAGGAAAAAAGAAGCCCGGGGAGGGGGGCGGAAGGGGAAGAGGAAGGGGAGAGGAGTCGTCCTCGCGCGGTCACAAAGTCGAGGAGCCAGGAGGTCGCGTGTCCTCCGGGCAACCCCTCGACGAGACGGCGTACCCTCTTCCTTTTCCGTGACTTTACGCCGTCATCCCCTACCGCCCGTCGCCTCCATCTGCCCCCTGCCCCCCGCGATCCGCCCCCCCGGCCACCCGTCACGGACTCGATAGGCGCCCGTGCGGCCACCTGCCCGTTTCCCAGGCTCAATAATGCAGCGCGCCCGACGTGGAGGAACATCGCCCACGAGGAAACCACCACCGCAACCGCCGCCGGCTCTGGAGGAGTCCTTTAGAGGAGATGTTGCTACAATTTTGCGCACATTGGGGCTGTAAGTTTTCTCCTTTTCCCTCCGTTTAGCCTGACTTCCCGATAGTTCGCCCCCTCTCTTTTGCTCTGCCATTTTTATTACCCGATGACCGTCGGCTCCTGCGATGATCAATCTGGCTCTCTTTCTCTTTCTCTTCGAATAGGGAAAAATTTCTTACCAATGGGTAGACAATATATAAATAATTTCGTGTGAAAAAAATTCTCTTATCTTTCTTGGCACTTATAGATTTGATTCCATTCTTCTTTATTAGAGGGATGAAATTATTTATAAGGGATAAGATTATTTTTCACAAAAGAAATTATTTTTGCAGATTAACACGGTTTAATTAAATCCTTTTTTTTTCTCGGCGATATTTAATATATTCAGTGCTTAATATATTCAGTAATTTGGAAAAGGACAAAAAATCGATCGAAGTTAGATAATTAAAGCTCATGGAGCGATCGCGAACAATTAGCGTGTCGAAAGAATGAAACGTGGAACAAAGGAAATTCTTTTTGTCTTTCTTCCCTCTCTATGATATCACCTCATGGCATATTGTAGCCATACACGGTGTGCAATTACACGGGGCGTATTATTTAACCTTGTTTGCACGAACGCGGGTGTCGCTCGCGCACGCATGTAACATATGTTACGTCAAGACTCGTGTTGAGGAGGACGGGGGGATAGTAAGTCGAACAGTCAGATTTTTCGCCCTTTATAAAAACGTGCCCGAGCTTCGAACAAGATAAAAAAAGAACGAGGAATAAAGAAAGGAACGAAGAAAAAATAAAGTGCAGAGATGTTCTTGAATAATATATTTTTTTAATTAATTTAAATACGTAATATCTTTGAAAAAATTAATTATATATATCATAATAAAAAATATCTAGAAGAAAAAATTTAATCATTTTCTCTCTCTCTCTATTTTATTTTATTTTTTATTATATTTCATTATTCCATGTGTTTAAATTAAATATAATTAAAATAATATAAAATATAATTTAATTAAAATAAAAATAATATAATAGTATAATAAATATAATTAATGATTATATGTATAATAAAATATATAATTAAAATATTATGAAATAAAATAAATTAAAATAAGATGAATTAAAAAATTAAAAAATTAAATAAAATAAAAATAAAAATAAAAAATATAATAAAAATTGTATTTAAATATTAAATTGAAAATCTTATTAAATTTTCTCAAGAAATGAATAGAAAATAAATAAAAAATTAATGCAGCTTCCCAGACAGATGTAAAGCAAGCAACGATGCAGGGAGAAATATTTAAAATATCATTTTAAAATAATATTTTAGATTTAGATTTCAAATGTGATAGAGAGATAATTGAAGCTGTTGGAAAATTTAGAGAACGTTTCTTTAAGTATCAATTACACTCTCGGGGAGAGACAATTTGGTCGCCATCGATCATGCAAAGCTCGACAAGCGCGGCGCAGTTTGCGCTCGCGAACCCACGTCTAATGTCAATTCGATGACTTTTCGATAGTTTTCGACGCGTCGCAAGATGTTGACAGCGCGCGGTGGGACGCATGCAAATTTTTTTCCACGTCACGTCACGTGCGTCCTTTCGCATAAAAAATGCTGATCGATCGCGCGATATAATATATATATAGCGAAAATATCCTTGCGTAATTTTGAGGCAAACGAAGCTCGTGAAATTTCTTGTGCGATAAATCCAGTGATAAACATTTTTAAAAAAATTAAGGGAAGAAAACATATTGTTAAATAAATTTGAAAAAAATGTGAAAAATGCTTGCTTAGATGTACAGAAAATGTAACCGTATAAAATAGTGTTGTCATGTCAAAATAATAACAATTTTAATTTTCAACTTGTATATAAGATCTTTAAGTCTGAACTCGGAACAAGCAAACATATATTCTTTTTAGATCGTATGATATAGGGTGGAAAATATGTTTAACATCGCGTAGATGTATAAAAATAGAGATGAATGAGAATTTGTACTACTGTTTTTTATAGCTCTCTCTTTCTTTATTGCTAAGATAAAAAATTCTTCTTCCATCGTCGAGAAATCAGGATTAACCGGTATCCCTCCCCCTCGATTAGTTTTTTAATTTGATTAGCTCCGTACACAACGCATATCACGTATAATCGATACAGAATAAGAGTTCATTGAGAAAAAAAACACATGGTGCCAGAAATCCTCCGTTCCGCCATCATGACGCGTGTCATGATGTTGCTGGATAAGTCTCACCTGGATTTTTCCTACGAGATCTTTACATTAGTATTACAATAGTGATACAATAGTAATACAATACCCATTTGACAATTCGACATACATATATATTATAATAAACAAATTTATTGTTTAATTTTATAATTCACGTATATATGTATATATTTAAAATATTTGATATTTTTATATAGTTTTTATTTTTATACATATGTATATACATACATGTTTATACATATGTATAGAAAATTGTAATTAATATTCAATTATTAATAAATTTTATGATTATGCAGATATTAACTATATCAATTGATAATTCATTAAATATGATTATACACTAATATTAATTTTAACAACAATTTTAATAGACTCTTTGTCTTTGTCTCTTTGACTCTTGTTCTTTTTTAATCAGGTAAAGAAATTCTGGATCATTAGTCTGTTGAACATCTCAATTTTCAAACAAATTAAGAGATTTATTAAAAGATTTATTTTTAATAAAAATTTCCTAATTAATTATTGTTTTTGTTTATTTCTTTTCTGGTTACTATACATTAATTTGAATCGATAATTTTTGTATCGAAAATTAAATAATTTAGAATTTATATAATTCATATATTGTTTATTTTTCTATACATGTCGTGTGATATGTCAATCTTCGTTGAAAATCCGACTGTTCGAGGTTTCCCTTTTTCGTATACATCTACAACGCAAAATTACAGCGATTAATTTTTGATGATTCGCTTCTACGTAAGCGTGGTCGTTACGTCGAGTCACCTGACGTGACTTTGTTGTACCTGAGGGTCACAATACAATTAACGACTCGTAAATAATAATCGATCCTATCGCAAGAATGACATACAAAGCAGAACAGCAGAACAGATCGCGAGTCTCTTTGGAAGATAATTAATTATAATAATTAGCGAGTGTCGATATTTTACGAATATAGACTGAACATGAAAGAACGACACGTATAATCACGTCGGAAACGTAATGCAGTTAAACACTTTGATGAAAGTGTGTAATTTATCCATTTCATTCTCTCGAGTAAAATGCAAATATTAACGTCGGACACAAAATGAGAAAATGTTTCTATTTTTTTTTAATAAACAGAAGTCTTAATGAATTAAATAATTGCAAGAAATTATATTGAAAATAAAAAACTTGCCTCTTTTTAGAATTCCTTATATAATTTTATTTAATTTTATATAATTTTATGACAGGTTCCAAAATTTGCAAATAAAACACAATAATTGTTTCGTAACTTTTTGCGAACAGGAGATATTTGAGATCATCTTGCCCGAATTGTATTTTGGATAATCGAGTGTCGGGAGATTCCCGACAATTATCGAAGTTAATATGACGGGGGTGTTTTTTCCTCATCCGATCCTAATTTACGATTAGCTGTGGTGCGATTGGTTCCACACAGCCGCACGCACGTGCATACTTCGCACGACTTGACAGTGATTGCGTGACACGCTCGACTATATAGGATAAGTCAAGAACCGTAGTATAACCGGAACGGAAGGTGATAGTTCGTTCAAAAATAAGTCAAGGATGCAGAATAAAATATTTTTTGTACAGAGAGAGAGAGAGAGAGAGAGAGAGAGAGAGAGAGAGAGAGAGAGAATTTTACTTTCGACAAGATTGATTTTAAATTAAAAAAAAATATGAATACATTTACGTTTTCCTAAACTGGAATAGTTTCTGATAAGTTTGTGTCATATATTGTCATATTATCAATAACGATTGTTCATACATAAATATAAAAGAACATAAATATAATAAGAATAGAAATGTAAATATAATGAAATTAAAATCTGGAAAAAATATTTTACGCATAAAAATGTATTATAAAATATAAAAGTATACAATATTTCTTTTCTATTTAATAAAATGATTTAAAATAAGGATTTAAAATATTTAATAAAACGATTTAAAAGAATAGATCAAAAAGATTTTAATGAAATCATATCTCAAAAATACTTATTAAAATACAGATATTAATGATTCAATAGCAAAATTTTATATAAATAATTTTAAAAAATAAGTAATTAATTTTATAATAAAAAAATAAATAATTTTTATGAATTAAAATTAATTCTGATTCGTTTAAAGATTTAAAATCGACATAAAATCTTTAGAAAACCAATAAGAACAAGTTTTGCTATCGAATTATTGATTGATATATATAAAAATATATTTCCAAAATGAAGAATGAAAAGTTTTAACGCGCGACACATATGATCATGAGTAGAAATAATTAATTAAACTTGTGACATAATTAATTTTATAATAAATAATTACTTTTATAAAAAATAAATAATTTTTCTGAATCAGAATTAACTCTGATTCACCTAAAGACTTAAAATCGACATAAAATCTTTAGAAAATCAATAAGAACAAGTTTTGCTATCGAATCGTTGATCTTTTATAATTTTTTAATAAAGCATTTTCAGAAACATGTGGTAAACTCTCTTAATTTAATCTTCGATCTTCTTTTAACACTCTAATATATAAAAATATATGTAATCTATAATATTTAAAAATATATTTCTAAAATGAAGATTGAAAAGTTTTAATGCGCGACATATGATGATCATAAGTGGTAGAAACGTGTGAGATAATATGCGGTATACATTTATAATGTTCGCGAGGCGTTAAATAAAAGGCGAAGCGCTCTATATTTTGTAACGGTACGTAACGCTTGGGGAAAGGTGTGAAATAACATCGCGTGCACTCTAGAGGCCTACATTACTTTAATTGATATGTATCTTTATAACAGCGTCCGCGCATCGCTGCATCCAGAGGACTGGACGCGAAAATTCTGGGCACATTTTCTCTCCCTCTCTCTCTTTCTCTCCCTTTCTCTGTGTTTTTCTCGCGTCAAGGTTCGCCTTCTCCTGACATATGCGCCGACTTTGACGTAATGACAGGCATTGCCGCACGATAATTGCACGCGCGACCGCCGGAAAACGCCAGGTTTACAGGTGCGGATACTCACGGGTGACCACCGAGGTAAACAGCGTGACTGTAACACGTGTCGCCCGTTAATCGCACCATCGACCCACCACGAATGTGCGCTGATTCCCGCTCGAAAAAAAAGTTACACTACTACTTATTATTGAGCAAGAATATCCGTCCGCGAAGCGGATATATTTTTTCATTTTGTCTGCCACTAATATAATTTTTTTTCTTTAATTTTTCTTTAAATAGCACGCAAGACGCGTACAACAAGATGTATATGTTGTACAAATATACTCGTTTTTTGGTGTAAATTTGTTTACGATAGTAACAGTCTTGAATTTCCATAGCAGACATGCGTTCACATTCAAAAATAAATTTTCAATTTCATAAGCGAATATATATTAAATATATATTAGCATTTTAAATATGTTGGTATTTCATTTATTAACAAAATATTATACTTACTTATTTAATATCCTAGTTTTTTGCAACCTGCTTTTCTCTGTTCACTGCAATGTTAATCTTCGGTTGAAATCTGGCGGTCTTCTTGAATCATCTGTATTGTATGTTCTATGTATATATGGAGTATAAAATGTCTTATATCTGGTGAAAAAGTAATTATTCTATACGAAAAAAATAAATCAAAAATATAGAATAAATATTTCTTGCGCATACAAGATTTTGTGCTTTTTAATAACATTGGATTTCAAAAATTGGAAAATTTATGCAACACGCTTTCCTAAACTTGATTAATTTCTAACAATCTTCTATTATAGCTTTCATATATTATCGTATTTATTTACATTATCAATTATTTAGCAATTATTATCAATTATTAATAATTATTACGATAATAAATGATAGAAAGTTGAGAAAATTACTGATATATATTTTATAATTGCTGTTCAAATTTCTGCTATCCTGCTATTTAATGGCATGATATTAATGCATAAAATGCATTTTTAAAAATGTAATTTTATTATTTATTTTTGCATTCATGCGAAGGAAGAACAAATGATAAGAATCGAAAGATAAGAGCAAGAAATAAATAAGAAAGCTAGATAAGAAATATGTCTAATTGTAAATATATTCTGCAAGCCTTAAATTAAATCAATAAAAATATTATTAATTAAAACAGTACATTAAGTAAAACAAGACATAAGATTTCAAATACATTGATGCGATTTAAGAGAGCATTATATCTTAAAAATGTTGTAATATTATTTGCAAATTATTTATATAAAAATATGAATGTTTTTAAAAAACCTTCAAATAATATTTTTTAAAGATGTAGTTCGCGGATATTTTAAATATACATATTTTAAACAAATATAAATAATCAGTGGATTTATATTAATATAAATTTGTGTAACTAAAATTGTGTAACTAAATATAAAATATATATAAAATTGTGTAATTAAATAGTCTGAATAAAATTGAGGCATAAATCATGTGATAAGAAAGTAGATAACAAGTGAATAAGATAAATAAGTAAATAAACATGTCGTTTCAAACTTTCGGCGTGATATGTGTCATCTAAACGTTTGAAAGTTGTGAAGAAAAGTATCGATATCGACATTTCTTGTTTTCGTTTTTTTATCTACTTTTAGTTCGAAGACACCGAGCGATTTAATGTTCGCTCAATCGAGCCTTTTTAAAAATTAAAGATAACGTGAGAAGAATGCGAAAAGAAAGTCTAAAATGCTATTAAAACGCGAAATATTTCACGAGGTTATAACTAATGAAATATTTAAATAATAAAATAATATTAAAAATAATTTTCTATTGGATCGAGAATTAAACGATGATGAATTATTGGCTATTGATCGAGTCAAGTTTCAATTTTTTTAGTATAATTTAAATTAGTCTAAATTGCCCATTACTATAATTGTTCATACATTAAATGGAACGTTGTATTTTATATTATTTATACTATTAATAATTAAAATGAATTTGAAGACGTTTGACATAAAATTATTATTAAAGATTAAAAAAGCATAGATATGTTATTGATTTTTTTAAAGTCGATTTTTTTAAACAAAACTTTATATGAAAAAAATTTATTCTATATTTTCGATTTATTTTTCATACATAATGGAATCATTACCTCCCCCCAGTTGTATCACTAGCGATATATAACGTGATTATAAAATATGTATCAGAAACTTTTCAAGAACGCGTTCTCCAGAGAATACAACAATGAATTTTCATTTGATTTAGAGGATTAATATTGAACTAATGATATATTTTTAGATGATTTATATTAATGAATTAAAATGTAAAATTAACTGATATATTATTATATTATAAATTAGCAAAACTTGTAACAAATGTATATATTAATGTGTATAGCTTATATAAATCGTACTATAAATAAATCTCAATTACTACTTGCGATTATATGAAATTTAACTAATTTAACTAATTTGCGATTAGATGTTTTGCAAATGAAATTTAACTAATTTATATATTTGTATTTATATATTTTCATTTTCTTGATTAATAATTTATTAATCTTATTATTAATCTTATATTTGTAGCTTATGTGTTAGTTTATTTTCAATAAATAAATTATATTTATTAATAAAAAGGACAAAATGAAATCATTGCTTTATTGCCCGCTATGTCTGTCATAATAAATAGAAAATAATGCAGCCGATTTTATAAGTTTTTTTCAAATCGGATAGCATTTGCTAAATATTCTGCATAAATAATTAAAAATTTAGAAAGAGAAAGCGTTAAAACCAACATAACATCTTAACTTTTTTATTCTAATCGCTAATTAAGAGTACAAAATAAAAGTGTATATCCACAATAAATATATTTATTTGAAATTGTGTTCTGTTAGAATATATCGTAACATTAATAATATTGTACTAAACTTATTGTATTAAACTTTTAAATAAATAATTGTTTTGCAAACGAAAATTACAATCTAAAAAATTAGTCTTTAAAAAATCAATATACTTAATGAAAACTATAAAAATTAGGAAAAAAGCAAATTACAAGCAATTATTTAATGATTTGAAAATAAAATTACATCGTCTTTTTTATTTATAAAAATAAACAATAAATTTTTTAAGAAATCATTTCGATATCTTTCCTCTTCTGATTCTCTTTAAAATTGTTGATTTTGCTGAACTCCAAAATCCATCAACTTGAATTTATCAAAATATTCTCGTTTCTTAATACTTTATCGAAGTAACTATCTCAATAAAAGTTAATCGATGTTGAAGCGCAACAAACAATAGAATAAGTCGTACAAAATGGAACATAGAATTTCCCCGTTACCTAAAAATCAAAACAATTTGCACAGATTCGCGCCATGATCAGCGGAAAGAGCTCCCACCCGCGCCCCGAAAGAGGATCAGAATTTTCCTACAACGATCCACAAGACGCGCGAGATGTGTTGTTTCGTTCCGTCCAATTATCACAGACACCCCCGTCGATCTCGTCGCACCAGGTCTCTTTTAATCGCGCGTCATCTCGAGGAACGATCGGAACTTTTTCTCGCGTCGAGGTGAAACGTCAAACGTCAAACTCAAACTGCGCGGGACACGCGTGATCTATAACTCGGTAATTTTTGCCCGTTGCAGCAATCGGACCGCTTTCGCAGGGGTTGGCGAGGAGGAGAGGGGCAGGAAGGGGGGAGGACAAAAGGGTTTCAACCGCGAGGATTATCATCCCCCGGGGCTCCCGCGACTGGGCGGAACATGCGTCTGTTCCTTGACACGAGAGCACGTGCGCGAGACATCGGTCGAGCGACGACGATTGGCCGACAGGCGGGGCTGCGATTCTCACGGGGGTTGAACGAGCGCAACCCCTGAACCTGAGGGTTGACGGTCTTCCTCTTCCTCTCCTCGCGAGCGCGAAAGTCAACTCGCATGATGCTCTTGCTGCCTCTCTCCGACTAATCGCGAAGAACCGCTGGGGTTATCGAGCGCAAACCACTTGAGAAATATAAGAGAAGAGAGAGAGAGAGAGAGAAAGAGAGAGAGGAAGAAAAAGAGGGAAAAAATATTTATTCTATACTTTGAAATTTTAACTTATTTTCTCAGCATTTCTAGTAATGTATATAAGTGAAAAAATTGATATATTCGTACGAAAGGAAGATAAGAAAGAAAGATGTATCTATATATTTATATAATTATTGTATCAGAAATTTCGTTTGAAAACTTTTGTGCAAATTTTATTTAAAAAAATTTCTTTTTTATTGCCCATATTCAATTCATGTAAAAATAAAGCTAAACTCTTGTCAGGAAATTATTTTAAAAAATTCTAGAATCCTGTGAGACACGCGTTACGGGTACTTTTCAATTGGAGTTGAACGTTTATTAGCATTATTCGCTCTTTCCCGTTTTAATTAAGCTGCGTAATTTTTAATTTGTAATCTAATTCAGGCTCTAGATCGACTTCGGCGAAGATTGATCCTTAATCGAAGATATGCGACAGACCTTGTTGGAATATAATACACAATTTCTGTTACCGCAAGCTGGAAGTGACTGTGACATCTGGACGTTTCTCACGGCGCTGCGACGTTACGGTTACGCAAGACAAGCGTAATGACATACGGTGCTCCTGAATATTTCATTTATTATTTCCCTGGAAATCAATGATCGCCATCTCCGGAATATGCGATTAGGCCATTGTTTCATCCGTTAGATATTTCATGCACTAATGTCTAGAACCTCTATTCATGTATGCGAATTTTTTACGAGCTCACTGAAGTAATCATAAGACTAGAGGAAAGAAATTTTGTTAATTTTGAAAGATTTACAATATGGATATTATATAACATCTAAATTATATAATATAATTTTATATAAAATATAGTAAAAAAATAATAAAATATAATTTAATAATTTAATAATTTTAATAATTTTAATAATTTCAATAATTTTAATAATTTTAGTAATTTAATAATTTTAATAATTTTAATTTATTTTTAATAAAATATAATTTTATATAAGTACATAATTAAATATCAACGATCTTAAAAAATAATTAACGATAATTAATATTATGCTGTATAATAATTAATATTAATAATTATCTCGACTAAGCTTGTGTAAAATGTCAGATCCTCAGAATTGAAATTTAATGATAGATATTTATAAATATACATTTGAAAAAATCTATTTTTTCTAAAATTAAAAATTTTTTTTTTATTTAACGCATTTTATTATATTTATTATATTTAATAAGTATTAAATACTTTAGTAATTAAAATACACAAGTTGAGATATTTTTTTCATGTATTTGATATGTGTTTTTATCTATTTTAAGAAGGATTTTTTATAGAGATTTTTAGGAGAAATTTTATATATTTTTTCTTTCTTCTCTCTCTCTCTCTCTTTTAGGAAATTAAATTTCTAATATTTAACACAATTATTTGTGAATTTTTCTTATTGGTGATACGGATCAATCTTTTACAGGCAATTTCACCTCGACATCGCTCAAAATAAATATAAATATAAGGATAAATTAAAGGAGTAAAAAAAGCAATGCGAATTTTGATTTAAATTAAAGGTCGAATTAACGGTGACACTATCGAATACGATGAACCACGGAACTCTCCCATTTCACATCGATGTTGTCCCGGAGGGTGGAGATAGACAGGTCTGCCTTTGATAGCTCGCAGGATTCCCGCAGATCCTCGAGTGCCTCCTCGACGCGGCAGCGGGAGCAGAAAATCGCGCTGAAGTGGTAACGGGTCGGGCTAATGGCTCGGAGACGATATTTTGTTAAACAAGGAAACCTTTTATCGCCCTCCTACCGCGTTGAAAGACGCTCAATGCACAGGGACGGCCATTTGTTCCGACAGGCCACTCTATCAGCGAAATTTCAGCGTATTTGCTGAGAGAGCTAGATGTTAAAAAAATACCATGAATAAAAAATAATTAAATAAAAATTATTTATAATTAAATAAAAATAATTAATTTTTCAAATAATACACAAAAACGCACGTTTTATAGATATATCTTGATTATAAAGACTTGAATTTTTATTTAATTTATGATGGGATCTTGAAAAAATGCATTCACAAAATTTCTGAAATTTTTTCAAATTCTGTGAATTTATTATTACTAAATTAATATAAATAATTAATATTTTTTTATATATTGTTTTATTAAAACTTTTTTTAATAAATAAAATATATAGACATAATTTACAGTGCATGTATACAGTATATCGACGAAATTTTAAGCGTTGACGCTTTTCATTTTCAATTCTACGTTGAAAGCGGCCCTGCACCGTTACTTCAATTGTCTTGTCACCAGAAAAAGAACGAAGTGTGAGTCCGAAGTGCGAACCGCCGACCGCCATGACAAGGTGTCACCTGCGGTTTCTCACGGTTCGCCCACGCATATCTCGCAGATTCCTTCGATCCACCTTATATCTCTCGCTCGGATCTTTTCATGCTCTCGCCCTCTCGTTGAGAGTAAATAGCGACATCGACCAGCAGCATTCCATGTGTAAAGTTCGATTTTCTCCCATCGGCGAGTTTAATTTTTTATTTAATTTCTACAGTTTAATGCTTTAAGAAATTTATATATTATGTAATAAGATTTATTTTTTAATTTAAATCAGATTCTGTAAATAAATATGAATAGATAGAATATGAAAAAATGGATGCAGTAAACGTCCCGTTTATCAAAAATGATTATTAAAATCCATACCTCTCTTGTGTCTTGTTATATAATATCAAGATGAACTGTCGCAATTTTTTAATTTATCTCTAACGAAAAAGAAACGTGAAAAAAGAGATATAGTTTTTAGAATTTTTTTCTCATCAAAAGAGGATGCGTTAATAATCCTCCTAAAATTTGTGACGGTTTATTTCAATGATATTATGTATAATTATACTTTATTAAACTATAAAAAAATTAACTTCAAACAAAAATTACAAAATGTATTTACTTTATCAAAAAGTATTTTTAATCGATATTAACAACATTCTGTGTAATTAAGTAATAAATTGAGCGGCTACTTATTCACCGCATTTTTATAATAATATTAAAATAATAATTATATTAAATATCACGCGTACACAGTAAATATTTATAATTACATTATATACTTTTTATACTGATAGATAGATTTTATAAGCTGAAGTGTATTAAGGTATCAAGGCCCGGTTGCACCAACATTGTTTTAAGTTTAAGCGAAACTTAAATATATGTTTGTCTTTATTTATTTAGAAAGAAAGATAAAGATAGACATATATTTAAGTCTCGCTTAAAGCTGAAATAACGTTGATGCAACCGGGCTTAAGTGTATTAAGGAAAAATAAAAAAAAAGAAGTGGTTCCGGCCGGGATCGAACTGGCGACCTTCTGCGTGTAAAGCAGACGTGATAACCGCTACACCACGGAACCTTACGATAGGGGTTGTCTTAAATTTTATTGAAATGGATTTAATATATATATATATATATATATATATATATATATTAATATTAATTATATATATATATATATATATTAATATTAATTATATATATATATATATATATATATTATTAATATTATTACAAACATTTTTTAATTAATAAGTCGAATGAATATATTTATAATATATCCATTTGATTCATTAATTAAAAAAAGCTTATAATAATATTAATAATATATATACACACACATACACAAAGCAAATAAAACGACAAAAATAAATTAATAATACGCTGTTCTGTATTTAGAAATATATTAAATATATCATTCATACAAAAATTAAAACCTATTATTTATATTAAAAGTTGGCCTACATTACACAAAAGAGTGTTAAACATATGCTATGAGATTTGTAATTATGTTACAAATTCATATCTCTTATTCACTAAATTACATTAAAGTACATCGAACTTTATGCTCTAAATAATACCTTTTATATATTAATCAATTAATATTTCAGAACTTATTATTCATGTTTTATATTTAGTGTTAAAAAATATTATGATATTTTATAATATGCATAATATATGTATTTATATTTTGTAAAACAAAACAACACAATAAAAAAAACCCAGTTGATATTTCTTTAACGCTTTGGAGGATATAAATACGTATGAAAAAAGAGAAGAACTTATAAATAAATGCAGTAAAATATCCTTCAGGACCTAATACAAATTAAAATCCTAATGTGACTTGTTATAATAACATATAAATCATCAATTTTTATAAAATTCAAGGTAAAGATACAATAAAATAAAATCTTATGTAAGATACGAAATGAAAAAAAAAAATTATTAAAACATTTCTTCATTTTCTCATCACTCATTGTTCTATAAAAACAGATAAAAATCATTATATTATAATAAAAAATTATCATAAAAGCATTAATTTAAAAACGAATTAATTTATGTAAAGTATTTATATAAACTGATAAAAATTTATCGATTTCTTATAGAATTTATTCTCTATAAAAATTGAATAAAAATACGAAGAGAACCTATTTAAGAGCTTCTTATAGCAAGTTACATTAAGCTTTTATTTTCTGTGAGGCTAAAAATATTTATTGCATGTACATATTTCTCTACTTATTTATACACAATCGAAAGAGATAAGAAAAAGAATCGATCAGATCGTTATTGTGCTTACTTGAAACACACCGGTCCGATCGCGAAACCAAAGGCCTGCCTTGGCGATCCATAGTCGATCGGATAAAAATCAACCAACGGCAATTGCTGCGGCTTCCTGGTGCGAATTAAGAACACAGTCTCGGCCTTATCCTTCCGATCCTTGCAGCCATCCGTAATTATATGGGGCCTGATCACGTTGTACGAGAATTCCTCTTCGTTTTCGCCGAGTAATCGTAGCGAAAGATTGTAACCATGAGTCGGATTATTATTGTTGTACCAGGCAACGCTATTAACGCACGTATAGGTAAAGTTTTGATAGGCTTCTTGACTGAGCAGACGCAAAACGTTCATTTGTACCACTCCAATCGTCTCGTACGTTATCTAGAAAGACGTGAAGAATTATTTTGGTGAAAAATTAGACGCGTAAATTTCTTCCAGTTTTATTCATCTACGTATTTATGCATTTATTTATAGGAACAATGTTTTAGGGCAATATAAATATATAGGAAAGTGTCATGAAATATTTAATTCATACTATTATCAATAATAATAATAATATTAATAATACTTATTAAAAAAATTGCTAAATATTAAACAATTTTATGATTAATTTAGGAAGATTATGATTGTGAAGAATATATACATGTGTGAAAAATAGAAGAAAAAAAATTTATATCAAATAAAATAAATAATAATGTGAAAAAGATCGATTATCGAAGAAAATAATGCATTTTTTTCATTATTAAGCTTCTTTCAATTTGTATCTTATAAAATAAAGTAAAATATTGATGGAAAAAATTTTATTACATACAATATTAATTACATTTTTTCTGAAAAAATATTTAGACAGAAAGATTTTAATATCTTTTTCTTGTCAAAATTTAGATATTTTGCCTTATTTTATAAATTTGCATTTTTGAAATAAATGAATTAAAGGAAGTTTAATGAAAAAGTTATTTTTGTTTAGAAATCGATTTCGTTCCAAAACTGATACGTTTTCGTTTAAAGAGTGAAATTTAATGTAAAGATGTGTGTTAAAATCACTTAATACGCGCAAAATCAAAAATAAATAATATAAAATTCTGATTTAGGAAATAATGTCAATGTAAACAATTTATTAAATAGTCCGTTTTAGAAAGTCCTTTTTATTCGAATTTAAAATTATGTTTTTAGATTTTAATTTGTTTTTTTTAACTCTTCACAATTATAATTTTTAATTTTACATTCTCAAGAAGTAATCTCATTCGCGAACTTCAAATTAAATTTTTATATGTATAATAAATATTTATTTGTATAATAAATGTATATATGCTTATATGAAAATGCAATTTATACATATATGATAGCGAAATTCATACCTGTCTCAAGATATAAAAATGTACAAATGAAAAAAACTAGATAAATTATGATGTTAATAACTTCATTTTTGACAATAATTTTGAACATCGATGAAAGTTAATGATAATTATGCAGAAATATATTATAAAATGTATTATTTTCTTCATTTATGAATTATTTTCGTCAAGAAATTTTAGGAAATATATAGAAACAATTAATTATAAACTTGTAAAAATGAGAATTTCCTTAAACTTACTCTGAATCCTCCGCGTAAACGCGAGTACCAGTCAACTTTATTGTTCTCTTTCTTCCATGGTATATTTGGCATACTACTACTATGAATATCAGGAAACATGCAGGTCTCGCCCATATTCGAGATGTTGCAATACACATAAATAGCATCGTCAGGCATGCCTAGATTTGGATCGATCCAATACCAACCTGTTTAATAAAATATAATAGAGTTTTTAATCCTCAACAAATACTTAATATATTTTTTCTGATTTTGTAAAAAATTCATAATTATAATTAATAATAAATATAAAGAATAAAGAACTTTACAAAGATAAATTTTTTTAAAAGAATGATGAAAAGAATAGTATTAATAATATTTATAAATTTAAGAAACTTTAATTATCATCTGATTTAGAAATTAAATAAAAATTAAATAATGGAAGACAACTTTTTACCATCCTTGAAATGGGGATGTCCGTAAAATAAATCCTTGCATGTTCTTACTGGATTATTTCTTGTACCAGTTGGTCTGTACCTTCGATCCAATTCTTGTCGTATGTTAGAAATAGATCTGTATATTTCTAAATACTCCACATCCAACTCTTCCTCTTCCTCTCTAAAATAGATCAAAGTAATTGATCGAATATGGATCAAAAATAATTGACGGAAAATCTTTATTCTAAAATTTAAATCTGCGTTAAAAAATTTTTATCAAATCTAATTCTAAAAATAAAACAGAATAAAATCATTTCATACAATGTATAATATTCTAAAAGTGAATAAGACTTGAGAACGTTTATATATTTCAATTCTATATCGAATTCTATAAGATTCTTACACGTCTTCTGGAGCATCGCGTTTTTTTCTAGCTGATTGATGCAGCGGTGTGATTCCATCGAAGCTGAAGGGTTCCATCGGTGGACTAGGCGGTCCTGGTGGGCCTGGCGGACCTGGTGAGCCTGGGATACCTGGCACTCCATCATTTCCTGCGTTTCCTTTGGCTCCGGGCCATCCTGGTGGTCCTGACAGACCGGGAGGTCCTTGTTCCCCTTTGAAGCCGATTGGACCTATAGGTCCGAGATTTCCTTTGAAACCTTCTGGTCCAGGCAATCCGCGGTCGCCTTTTTCTCCTGTTTCTCCTTGATCGCCTTTAATACCAGAGCGTCCTGGTTCTCCTCGATGTCCTTTAATGCCTCTGCGACCTTTGTCACCTTTTGGGCCATTCGGACCAACTGGTCCAATCATTCCAGGGGCACCGATGGCGCCCGACATTCCTGGAGGACCGTTTTCCCCGGCCGCTCCTGGCAAACCTCTTTCTCCTGGAAAGCCGGGCAAACCAGATGGTCCTTGGGGTCCAATAGGTCCTTGCGGTCCGGGCGCTCCAAACGGGCCTATATCTCCTTTATCTCCTGGTAAACCTGTATTACCTTGCTGACCTGCAGGACCTTCCGGACCCTAAAATCAGTAGTAATTAAATAAATAATTTAAATTAAAATTAAAATATATACCTTTTATATATTTTATGTATCTCAAGAGCTTTTATTTTCCCCAAGAAAATTATATTTATAAATATTTAATTGCTATTTTTGAAGTCATTTTGTCCTGGAGAATTATTTTATTTTTAAATGATAAATTAAATTTCTCATACTGGTTTTCCAGGAAGACCTGGTAATCCTTCCTTGCCAGATGGTCCAGCTTCACCTGGTGCACCTGGATCGCCTGCTGGTCCATCCTCGCCATCCTTTCCAGGCTCACCTTTTACACCAATGAGACCAGGTTCTCCTGGTGGACCGGGAAATCCAGGTAATCCAATATCACCTTTTGGTCCTTCGAAGCCAATTAATCCTCGTGGTCCAGGAGATCCAATTAATCCATCCTTGCCTTCTTCCCCTTTCGCTCCTGGAGGACCTTTTTCTCCCTTAATTCATTAAATATGAAGCAACAAAATATTTAACACAATTATAATTAATATATAATTATAATAAAAAGATAATTCTTTATAAAAGATAATTCTACACAAAAAATTACTGATTTTATATTAATTAATTTTTATTTCTATTATTCTCATATTAACAAAACGCTACTGTTTGCATATGTCCAGTTTTGATTTTAGTGAATATTACTACAGTATTTTAATACAGAAATATGTTTATTATTTTGAGTTTCTGTTATTTTATAAAAATTATTTAAAAACAATTTTCTAAAAATTAGAATTGTAAAGAGATTAGCTTAAAATATTATATATGTATGTTTAAATATATTGACTTAAACATACTTTAACTTAAATAATTATTTATAATTGATTGTAATATTATAAAGTATGTAATAAATAACATTTTTATGTTATTAATTTTATTTCGTTGCTTACTATATTTCAAGAAATTTATATGTATAAATAGTCAAATAAGTAATGACATGTAAATTATTTTTTTATAAATTTTATAAACACATGCAATTTATATTACCTGTTTACCCTCTGCTCCTGGTTTTCCAGGAGGTCCTGCCATCCCACTATCTCCTTTTTCACCTTGACGACCTTCTAAACCTGGTGATCCTTCTGCACCTTTAAGACCTTTCGGCCCTTTCAGACCTCGTTCTCCTGGAGTACCTGGTGGTCCCATGGGACCAACCGTCCCAAAATCTCCAACTTCGCCTTTTACACCTGGTGGACCTGGTAAACCTTGCGGTCCTATAGGTCCAGCTGATCCTGTTGCTCCGACTGGACCAATCTCACCTTTTAATCCTCGCTGTCCAACCTCACCTGGCGGTCCTTTCTCTCCAGGAGGACCAATTAAACCAGGTTCACCACGTGGCCCTTGTATTCCTTGCGGACCTTGAAGTCCCTATATATTATAATTACAAGATTAAAAGAATGAATTTTAAATTATTCTTACATTAGTATTTTTCTCCAACGATTTTGACTTTCACATGTATTGATTACATGATAATTTCTAAAAAAAATTAAAATGTTTTGAAGATTACTCAGAGTTATATTGTTAACATGTATGAAAATTAAGATCTCTGAAAAGGAGAATATGTTACCATAAAAGTTTATTTCATTATATTTTTTCTTTTTAATTACTTAATTATATCTACCATTTCTCCCTGAGATCCTTTGAATCCTTTCTCACCAGGTGGACCTACGTTTCCCTTATCACCGTCTTCACCCGGAAGCCCAACTGGTCCAGGTGAACCAGGTAAGCCTCGTTGACCTGGTAAACCGTCACGACCTATAGGTCCAGGTAACCCAGAATCACCCTAGATTCATCATAGATAAGATACATTTATCGTATTATCTATATAGTAGTATAGTATTATATAATATATTATTTGAGTTTGACGAATATGTATATTTTGTGTATATCTTAAAAAGGTATAAAAAATCTTTAACAAAAAAAAATATAGATTATTTTCTCTCTTATACTTTATACATATAATAAAACTTACTTTAGGAAATCTATAATTTGTGGCAAAATTCAAGATAGAATTTTATCTATAGTTTTATATATCATGTAAAAAATATATGTATATAGGAAATATATTTATAAAATATACATATATGTACAAAATATATATAAATACACGTATACATTTATCAGGAAATATGACATATATGAAAATTATAAAGAGTTTTATTTTAAGTTCTCGCTAGCAAGTTATAAATCATTTAAGGTAAATTTGACCTTTTCGCCTTTAAGTCCAATGAGTCCTCTCTTTCCTTTAGGCCCTTGTTTTCCTTCTGAACCTGGAACGCCGTCTTTACCAGGTTCACCTTGAGCACCTTTATCGCCGGGGTGACCAGGTGCTCCGATAGATCCCATTTCTCCTTTCGAACCAGGCATTCCCTTGAAAATTTATAATTATTATGACAGTTATTAATATTATGTATCAAATATTATAATTAAATATTAAGAACTTTTAATAAACTTGCATCTCATATAAGCATCATTCTTAATAAAACTAACAGGCAGACCGTTCAATCCTCTTTCGCCGGGAAATCCTGGTAATCCGCTAGGACCTGGTGGACCTTTAATTCCTGTCAAGCCAGATGGACCCGGCGGTCCTTCTTTTCCTTGTTCACCTGATGGACCAACTTCTCCCGGAACCCCCGGACTACCAGGTGCTCCAGGTTCGCCCGGTTGACCAGGTTCTCCAGCTGGTCCTTGAGGACCGATAATACCAGGAGTTCCTGAAGGTCCTGCAAGCCCGGATTCTCCTATTGGACCACGTTCGCCAGGTGGTCCCGGTACACCATCTTTTCCGTCGAGGCCTGGTGGGCCAGGTGGTCCCACAAAACCACGTGGACCTTCAAGACCAGGAGGGCCAAACTCGCCTGGCACACCAGGAGATCCTGGTTGACCAGTATCGCCCTTTGGGCCTGGCAATCCTTCCTCGCCTCTTCTACCACGTGTTCCTCTGAAACCCTATATAATATACGAAATAACTAAAATTATTTATTTAGCGAATATGGAGTAAACAATTAATTTATTATGTCTTGATATATTTTACATTGAGCATTATTAGTAGCAAAATATTTTTGATCGTGTTTGTATTACGTGCACAAGAGTGGCTCTAGTAAAATGTTCTGCCATAAAAATAATTTACCCTCGGCCCTGTTTCACCACGTTCCCCTTGCATTCCATTGGTGCCCTAGAGAAGAAAAAAAAGAGAGAAGAGCAAATAATATTTTATGAAGATCAACAAAACATTATATATAAACTTTATATTTAAGAATTTTCAAGAAGTTACTCTTTCTCCTTTATCGCCGTTAGAACCTTGTGGTCCTAGTTGTCCTTTATCTCCCTTTTCTCCAACATTTCCTGGAAATCCAGCATATCCAGGTACACCTATTTTCCCCTTTTCTCCGGGCAGACCAGCAAGACCAGTTTCACCACGAGGTCCTTCAAAGCCTTTTGGACCTTCCAATCCTTCAAGACCTGGAATTCCCTGCGGTCCCGTTGCCCCAGGCTCTCCTTTCGCACCAGTATCACCCTTTTCACCTTCTAATCCCCTCTCACCTTTCTCGCCGCGTTCACCCGACGGACCACGTTGTCCTTGATCACCTTTCACACCCCGCACACCTGGAAAGCCTACTGTTCCTTGCGGTCCTAAAGGACCTTGTTCGCCTTTCATTCCAGGAATTCCGGGATTGCCCGGAAGACCAGGGGGTCCGTCAGCACCCGAAAGACCAGGAATTCCAGGCTTTCCTTGTGGGCCCTTTTAATAAAATTTAGTTATTAGATACATCCAGTCATTAATAATAAGATGTGAAAATCTTAATACAATCAAAAGTAATTGTAAATGTAAAAATAATTATAATTTCACATTGCACAAAAAACTAATTATAATTTTTATTTATAAAACCTAAATAAGTTTGACTAACTCTTATACTGCAAATCATTAAATTTGTTTCTGTCAGATTATAAATAGAATATAAATAAGATAAAATGTTATATTTGAAGGATATATAACACAATCGAAATGAAAATAATTCTCTTGCATAATTAGAAACCAAAAATGTATAGTGAAATAAAATTTTTTGTATGAGGATTTATTTAAAAAAAATTAATTTTAAAAATTAGAATACATAATAATCTACGATTTTCTATCATGTGTTGAGTTTATTTTAACAATAGTTAATAATAGTATAAAAATATAATTAATTATATAATACATTGTATATGATGAAACGATTAAAAATTACTTATAGTAACTTACTGAAGAAATTATGGGTAAAATATCAATATTCACTTTTATTATTTTTTAAATAAAATATTGTATTTCTTACACATATTTTAATAACTAGTTGAAAAACGTAAAAACACTAACTTACGACTAAACCAATCGGTCCTGGTAAACCTTGAGGTCCAGATGGTCCCACAGCACCTACAGGTCCTGGTTGACCTGGTGCACCAGGTAGACCGGGCGATCCAGCATTGCCTTTAGAACCAGGTGGACCTTCATTTCCAGGAATACCAGGATTACCTGGTAGACCAGGAAAACCTCTTGATCCAATAAATCCTCTCGGACCCTGCACAAGTAGACATTTTATAAAAGTTTTATTTTTTATTTTCTAAAGTTTTTTTTTTGTAAATATAAATATATAAATTCAAAAAATAAATAATTCGATAAATAATTATTAAAAGATTTATTCTGCTTTAAATATAATAAAATAATACAATCTTTATAAATTTTTCTACTTCTATATAATTTCAAAAATATTAAAATGCTAATATTTATTGGCACATCTTGTATTTTGTTAAACGTTATTATTTCTCAATACTTTTTTTTAGAAAAATTCTCGAATTTCTTATAATAATATATTATAATAACGATTTTATTATTATTTTACCAGTTCACCAGGTACACCGGGTAGACCGGGAGGACCGTCCTCGCCCTGCATCCCTTCGTGACCTGGTAAACCCGGTTCTCCAGGTATCCCTGAAGGTCCCCGTTCGCCCTTATCACCCGGTAAGCCTGGTAAGCCTATCAATCCTGGCTCGCCCTTCATTCCCGGAGGGCCAGTAAAACCGCGCTCGCCGTCTCTACCAGGATGACCCCTCCTGCCTTCTCTACCAGGAATTCCGGTAGGTCCTATGGAAAAAAACCATTGTTTTTATATTAGCAAAAAATAAAGGATTAAAAAAAAATAACAAAGAATTTACTTTATAAAATCAAATTTTTAATTTGAGAAGTTTTTAATCTTAAAAATCAAGATTTCTTTTAATCGAAAAAGTAGAATAAATTAAAAATTTTTTCTTATTTTCTTTTCTTCTTTAATATTAAAAATTAGAAATTGATAATTTTACAAAATAAACTTTTATCAACCGCATTTAACCGCTCACTGACTTTTTATAAAAGTTACAAAATTATCAAACTTGATATTGCATACCTCTCTCCCCTCTGGGTCCGGGTTCACCAACATCACCAGTGTCTCCTTTTTCACCCTGAGGTCCAGGCGGTCCGTCGGGTCCTGGAATGCCCGTGAGTCCCACTGGACCTTCTATACCTCTCATTGTAAGCATGTGTTGCGATAATATCTGCTTTATCAGTTCTACTTGGGAATCTGGTCCCTTCTCGTTTCCCTGACTTAACAAGGGTATTACGAAAACATTACCCGGTGGACCCACTACACCTGGTAATCCAGCCAATCCATCTCTGCCGGGTTCGCCTTTGTTGCCTGGAGATCCAGGCATGCCTGGCGGTCCTGGAAACCCACGAGGACCTGGCGGACCTCGAGCATTGTAATACACTTTATTAGGATGTGTTGAAAGAGTACGTATATATTCTTCGTTATAAGGATCAATTGTTGACTCGCCGTAATACTGTTGATTATTTGATTCATATATATTCGTAATCGTTTCCGCTTCATAAGATGTCTGAAACATTCAACATTAGTGAATAAAAACTCATGAGAAACAAGGTTCTATCATTAACTTTAAATATATATTGTAAAATTTTAAAACTATTGATTTTAAAACCAATAATCATGATATTTTTTTTGACATGGATTTTCTAGATATTTTACTGAATTTACAGGATATTTAAAATGGAACACATATATTCATGTGTGTGTGTGCGTGTATTGTATAAAATTAATAACTTAGACTTATATATAAATTTTTTTTTCTTTATCCTTTTCTATTTTTCTCTGTGCACATTAATTTTGTGTAGAGTCTTGCAGAATTAAGGACATTACTAATATTATAATATAATCAAAAGTAACAATTTAATTTAATTTTATCAAATTTTTATGGTTCTATAATAATACTTTAGATTGTTTCTTTTTTTTGTAAATTTCTATTTTATCAAAAAATAATTTAATAAATATTATATAAATATATAAAATACATTATTGCAAATAATAATTTATCCGTTCAGATTGTGTATAAAATTATCATAAATTATCTTCTTCATTACATTACTTTTTAAATACTAATTTTACTCGTTTAATACTTATTCTTACGGGAATAATTGTATTATCTCTATCCTCATCTTTCTTGTTCTCTTCTTCATAATCATCATCATTCCTCGATGATGCATTATAATTCAGTCTGTCTTTTAATTGATGTTTACAATTTGGCGCAAATATCGTGCAAATCTCATAAGCGGCGTCTGGATTTGGAGCGATTTTCAGCATCTCGAGACTTCCCTAAAAGGATATAAAATATATGCAATAATATAATATCGTAATTTTAATTTTTACCCATTCCACGATTAAAGTTTTTTTTCATTTCAGAAGGAAAATTTTATAAAAGACAGATTCTCTGTCTATATCAACTGTCTATATCATCTAATATCAACAATATCTTATTTTATATTATTATCATTGCAAATTTTTTTCCTCACCAGATATAAACCACCATTAAGCTGTTGCCCAATCATGAAGATGCCGGTGATTGTTTTCTCGCGATTTCTTTCCAGCTTCCTCGTGATATGTCTATCACAATCGAGAATAATCGTAATGCTGTCGCCCTTGATGCTAATTCCTAATCGATGCCATTCCCCATCGGATATATCGACATCGAAAAAAATTACGTTGTTCTTTTTCTCCCCATTCGTGTTGTAGAGGAGGCTGACATTACGCCCCAACGAAAGAACCAGCTGTGCTTCGCCAATATCGCCATAGATGGTAAAGAGTATCGGCGTCGTGTAATCTACGGTCAACAACTTTAAACCAATTCTGCTTACATAATAAAAAATGATAATTGTTATGCAATTTTCATACAGTCATGCAATAACAAAATGCGACAGTTTGCTTAAATAATTTCGAAATTCAAGAAATATTTTTCAAGCTATCAAAGTTTAATTAGATTTCCAAAAACAAATGAAACAACAATTTAATGTATAATTAAATATTAAATATATTTATTTATTATTAAATATATTTCTTAAATATATTTTGAATATATATTTCTTAAATATATTATTAAATATATTTAAATATATTTATTTATTATTAAATATATTTCTTAAATATACTTCTTAAATATATTTCAATTAAATATATTTCCATTTTTGAAATAATCAATATTGATTTTAAATTCCTTAAATTATTATCTCTCTTATAAGAAAGAACTTTAAATTAACTTTTGGTTAAATTGTAATTAGAAATATTAATATAATTAAAAACACCTTGATTAAAGTAGAAATATTGAAGTAAATGAGTAATCTAATTATAATTACTGATACAGATTATAGTATTTTACTGGCTTATACTCACTAGCTTTTGGTTTTGCAACGACCAAAATGGAAAAATCCTGCGGAATGCCAGATGGAAATAGCGTATTAATATGAACCATCAATATCGCGGTTTCCGTAATGTCGTATGCGATCGTGCCATCACAACGACTTTGTGTTTTTGTTACTCCGAAAAGTGGTCCTTGCATACCTGTGGCCTCAATTAGATCCACCACATTCATTGCTGAAATAAAATTGCGGCAAAGTTTAAAAAGGCATCACGTCAAGATTGTTAAAAAAAAGGAAAAAAAGATAAAAGAAAAGAAATTTTTTTTAAATACACATTTATTTCAATAAATTTAATTTAGACTGTAAAAGATTTTTATTTCTTTCGGGGGGGATTGTCATTCGATATCTGATGATTTTATCAATTATAAATCGTGTGTACTTTTTCTTCTCGATGTAGCAATCGGGTAACTTAGAAGATAAAAATGATGCTAAATAAATATAATAGGCACGAATGACTAAAAACCCAGTAACCCATGGTCCGCCAATTATAATTCAAGTCATTGGGACGACCATCCAGACCAATTTAAGAAGATTCCAAGTCGACTGCAACATGCAACTTTGCATGCCGCATATACGCATCTCAATTAATGCAATAGAGATCAGTTAGAAACGCATCTACCGACAATGAGCTGACATTATCCAGAAGAAAGTAGAACTTTTTCATCTTTCTTTTCTCCTTTGACATGATAACTATTAGATAATCATTTCTTCATATGTCTTTATAATAAGTTTAAAATTTAAAAATAATATTCTCTAGTATATATTCTCTCTGGCGAGAATTTTCCTCTTCATAAGAATTCTACTATTCTATTTCTTCTCATATATAATCATATTTTATTTAGAAAATGTGATTAATAACCAATTAAATTGTGAAATGTATAAGTGTTAATATAAAATTTTAACATAAAGATTTCTCCTTCAATTTCAAGAGTATATAATAATAAATTAAGATAAATCATATAAACATGAATAATATTAAAATAATTTACTTATCATTTTAGAGAACGATATAAAAAGTATTAAATTAGAAATAATAAACTATTTAATAAAAAGAAGAATTATTAACGTACAAATGAAATAATAATTCTTACTTTTACAATTATAAATAAATATAAATTCATTTTAATTATTAAATATTTATTCTTGTTATTAAAGTTTAAAAGTCATATTATATTATATATAACTTTTTATATAATTTTTTCTTGTTACTAAAATTTAAAAATCATATTATATTTTATATTTTTACTATAATATTTATTTCTTAAATTTTTACTTTAAAAATATTTTTGGAATTATTTAACTTACTTTTAATCGATTCGACAATAAGATTGTAAATAACTTAACATCATTGCGTTTCAGAAATAAAATGACTTTGATTTTATGTTAATTTATATAATTTTTCTGATATATTCTTCTATATTTTTTCAAATATCTAAACTCAAAAATATCTTAAATAATATTATATACTTGCATCTTAAATAATATAGAAATTGTTTTAATTATAAAATATTCATATTTAAAATAAAATAATATAAAAAATAATTATGTGATTTTTTAAATATATTTAAAAGTGAATATTAAAAGTAATAAAATAAAATTAAAAATAATTATGTGATTTTTTTTAAACATATTTAAAAGTGAATATTAAAAACGCAACTCGAGACTTCTTATATCATATCAGAGAACAAATATGTATTATATATTATTTATTTATATATTATTAATTAATTATATATTATTAGTTAATTACATATTATTTCACAGCAAAATATACTTTGCATTGAAATATTATTATACTACATATAAATACAAAAAAATCTTTAATCATGGAAAAAGTATCAATATTTCTACTAAAGAAGGGTTGATTTCAAATTTATTAAAGAAGTTTTCCCTATATAATTATAGCATAATCGAAAAAAGAGATTTTATATCGATCTCTTTTTTCTATACATCAACTTTACTTACCTATATCTTGCATCATGATACCCGCCGTTTTTGGCTGCAAGCCAAACGTGAGCGATCCTGGAAACAAGAGATACACGAGATGCACGATCCACGAAGATCGAAGCACTCTCCATTGTCCTCTCCCGTAGTTTATTCGTTGCATCTTCTCTTTCTTTTCTCTTCCTCAAAACATACTCTTTTAAATTCTCGAAATGCGTCAGATCGAAGTCACTAAATCAGAGTCACCAGAGATATGACGTCAAGTCAGATGACAAATTCCCGATGTGATGATTACATTCCGATCGTTCTGATCGTTTCTTTTCCCACCCCTTTGCTCTCCTGTTTTCTTTCTGTCCTCTTGTTCCTTTTATTCTTCCTTTTCCCGCTCAACTTTCCCCATTTTTTAGATAATATAATACAATTACTTATAAATGATATACACAATATTTGAAGATGAAGTTTTCCCTCTTTCTCTTTCTTTCGCTATTCCTAAATTATTGCGACAAAATCGTTCTTTCGGCTTAATTTTCTGCTGCAGCGATGTAAGCACACTATGTGCTTACATGCAACTGTCGCTTAAATGACGCGCGTGCGTTCTATACTTTTCAATAATAGTGTCGTGTCTCTCTTTTATTGACACTGATTCGTATAATATCACTCGCAGAATGTACATTTCTCCGACTCATCCATTTCTTTTTCTCAAAGCAGTAGTGTTGAAAGTAGCGCTGGCTTTTAAATTAGAAAAAAGAGATTGAAGGACTTTAATAAAAATTAGATAGATGTAAGATTAAATGTCAAGATGAGGATTTAATCTAAGGGATTCGCTTCTTTTTTTTTTCATGTTTGTTTTCATTTTAGTTCTTATAACAAACTAAAATAATTTTGTTTTTTATAATTTTTATTTTTATTTTTTACCTTGGTAAAAATTATTTCACAAAATTTCTCATAAAAATTTTAAGATATTCTGTATGATTTGGCGCACTTTTCAGAAATCTTTAGAAAAGAAATAAAAATATTTCATATTTTTATCGTAAATGAATTTTAATAATTTCCTATATATATATAAATGTTAAATATTCTGAGAATTTTTATTCTAATAATTTTCTAAAATAATATTGAAAATATATTTATAATACAAATATATATTTTTAATATATAAATAAATCTGATATATTTTTTTAGAATTCTTCATAAATTTAAATTATGAAAAATTCTTAAAATTTTCTAAGAAACTATGAGTTTTTTTTACCAGGTAGACACACATTAGAGTTAACGTTATTTCTTCGAAATATTATTTAATGTTACATATATTAAATGACATATATTTGGTTATATTTTCACACTTTTTATTTTTTTTTAAGAAAACAATGGAAATTATTTAAAGAGAATATAAAATAATTCTAACGAAAATAAAAGGAAATGAATTCAAACATTTTTTTTTATTATTTTTTATTATTTTTATTATATCAAATATTTAAAGAAGAGTAAATATTTTGTAGAAAATAATTTCAGACGTATATATATATATATATATATATATATATATATATATATATATAATATATATATATTATACATAATTTTACAAAAATAAAATGTAGTTTAAATTAAATTTTTAATTTGATATCAATTTAATCACAAAAATTTATAATGACCCTTTTAAAATATTTTTTAAATTTAAAATAAATTTTGTATGTATCTCTCTTTCTCTCTTTCTCTCTCTCTCTTATTGTTAGTTATGTGTAAATGACGTAAAGGCGCCATCGTACAAGACATGGAAGCGCCATCTCAGGCTTCTCTCTAGTATTATTTTTTTCATGTTCATCATATGTTTATACCATGTGTTCTGATTTCTGATGTGTATTCGCACAAATTCTGTGTGTTATACAAATTAAAAGTAAAGAAAGTAAAAATAAAATAAATAATAATGACAAATAAGAAAAAGGTGAAGGCCTATACGAAAAGGAAACATATACCGGAGAGTAAAATAATTGAGGAGCTACGCTCTAAATATGACACTGTAAGTATAATTTCATGTAAAATTCAACGAGATGTATTTAAATGAAAAAAAAGTGTAAAACTAATTGCAAACTGGATATAGTATAATAATTTGTTTCTTCATGATTTTTGCAGTAATTTAAATTTTCTTGTTTTTTTTTGCACATTTTTATTTAACTATTAAATTTATTCTTATTATTTATAATTTATATATAAATATTATATATTATTATTTATATATTATTTATACATAAATAAAATTCAATTTTTTTGTTTCTTTTTGCTTGTCATTTATTTAATTATTAAATTTACAGATAAATTTTACCAAAACGACAAAATTCAGCGACCTTCCCTTATCAAGAATAACTCTCAAGGGTTTGGTGGAAAATAATTATATCGATATGACGGACATCCAAAGGCAAAGCATTGGCCTGGCTTTGCAAGGCAATGATATTTTAGGAGCTGCAAAGACAGGCAGCGGCAAGACATTGGCTTTCCTTATCCCAGTATGAACTATATCAATATCTCTCTTACATTATCGCAATGATGTATAATTGATGAGTTCTTCTTTGTAGGTTTTAGAAATTTTATACTGCAAACAATGGACAAGATTAGATGGTGTAGGCGCATTAATTATTACACCAACGAGGGAACTGGCTTATCAAATTTACGAGACACTACGAAAAGTTGGTCGGTACCATGATGTTTCAGCTGGTCTGATTATAGGAGGAAAGGATCTGAAATTTGAGAGAAAACGCATGGATCAATGCAACGTAGTTATATGCACACCGGGACGTTTGCTCCAGCACATGGATGAAAATCCGTTATTTGATTGTGTAAATATGCAGGTAATTTTGTATTAAATAATGTCATTCTTAATTAAGGATGGGATATTTTTAAGTTAGAATTTACACTTTATAATTCTTATCCTTTATAATTCTTAACAATAGCCATAATATATAATTTATAATAGAATCTATATATGTTGGATATAGTATAATAATTTGTTTCTTCATGATTTTTGCAGTAATTTAAATTTTCTTGTTTTTTCTTGCACATTTATTTAACTATTAAATTTATTCTTATTATTTATAATTTATATATAAATATTATATATTATTATTTATATATTATTTATATATAAATAAAATTCAATTTTCTTGTTTCTTTTTGCTTGTCATTTATTTAACTATTAAATTTATTCTTATTATTTATAATTTATATAAAAATATTATATATTATTATTTATATATTATTTATATATAAATAAAATTCAAATCAAATAAATATTAAAGAAATATTAACAAAGTAAATATTAGAAATATTAAAAAAATTATAGATACATTTAAAGTGAAAATCCTTCTTCTTTTATCTTTGAAAATTCAAAATAAATCACAGAAATACACATTTGAATGTAATATAAAAGTTTTTATTTATTTCTGAACGATGACTATTGCATGACTAACATTCTTCTTGGTACCTAAAATTGAGAGGAATATTCACTTTTTTAAATTATCTAATTATGATTGTTAATTTTTAAAGTTTTGGGGAAAAAAATGTATAACATTTTTAAATTAATTCTCTTGAGGGAATTAGTTCTGAAGGGAGGGTGGCTGAAAAATGTATAACATTTTTAAATTAATGCTCTTGAGTATAAGTAAAATTAATAAAAATATGAGAAATTATAGATATTAGTGTTGGATGAAGCAGATCGTTGTTTAGACATGGGCTTTGAAAAGACCATGAATTGTATTATTGCAAATTTGCCACCTAAACGACAGACTTTGCTCTTCTCGGCGACTCAGACAAAGTATGTATATTAAAAGATAATTACACATGGAATTAGAATTTTATTTTAGAATGTTATATCAAGTATATTTTACATTTCTATTAGATCTGTAAAAGATCTAGCAAGATTAAGCCTCAAGGATCCATTATATGTGTCTGTCCACGAATATTCTACGCATACCACACCGGAAAATCTGCAACAAAATTACATTGTATGTTCCTTAGAAGATAAAATGGCAATGCTGTGGTCCTTCATACGAAATCATCTAAAGCAAAAGATTATTGTGTTCTTTTCCAGCTGTAAACAGGTGATTATTTTTTATATCAATATAGTTTTCGAATTGAAATAATTTACTTATCTCAATCAATTTTACAGGTGAAATACATATACGAGGTATTTTGTCGCTTACGTCCTGGTGTCAGTTTATTAGCTCTCTATGGTACACTTCATCAAATGAAAAGAATGAGTATTTATGAATCATTTTGCAAGAAACAATATGCTGTCTTATTTGCCACTGATATTGCAGCTCGTGGATTAGGTAGCTAAATCTTAAAATATTAAATTTTGATAGGAATTCTTTGCCACATCAAAACCTATACATTGAATGAAAATTTCTTATAGTCTTATATTATTATTAAATTGAATAATATATTATTCCAATTTTGTAGACTTTCCTGCTGTAAATTGGGTACTTCAAATGGACTGTCCAGAAGACGTCAATGCCTATATACATAGAGCAGGTAGAACTGCTAGATTTCAAAGTGGTGGCGAGTCTCTCTTAGTTTTGCTGCCATCTGAAGAGGGGATAATTGAAAAGCTTAAACAATGTAAAATACCAATAAATATGATAAGGTGAGATCTATATTTTTAGATTATATATTTTTATATAAGAGTTTTGCTCTAACATATTCATTATTATCTTTAGAATCAATCCAAGCAAGCTACAGTCGCCACATCGTAAACTTGAAGCTTTATTAGCGCAAAACATAGCTTTGAAAGAAACGGCTCAGAGAGCTTTTATAGCATATATCAAATCAGTTTTTCTAATGAAAGATAAAGAGATCTTCAATGTGCATGCTTTAGACACAGATGCATATGCCAAGTAAGTATTGAGAAAAACTAATATAAATTATTATGTATACAGAGTGTTTCAAAACCTGTACCCATTTAAAAACTAGAGAAGTGATTATTTTAAAAAAGTAAAAATATTTTCTTCATAAGTCGGATGCACTCTATCGAATGGTGATATTTTCAACTTTTGATTCCGGCTGGAAATAGGCTATTCAGACCGGATGTGCATTTTTTAAAATGGAACTCCCTATGTTTCATTGCATATACTTGTAACTTATCCCGAGAGCTTACAAAAACACTATAATAAATTTATTTTATTTTTCCATGAAGTACTTTTCGAGTTATGAGGCTTGAAATCATTTCTTAATTTTACATAAACCATAAACGTAATTTGCAATTAACAATTCCATATTTTTTCTTAAAAACAACTGTATGTTTTCTTTATATCAACTTTTGATTCCTCTCATTATTTTGTACATAAAAGTATTAAGGTAAGATAATTGAAAAATGAATATTTTACAAGATATTTTATGGTTTATGTAAAATTAAAAAATGATTTCAAGCCTCATAACTCGAAAAGTACTTCATGGAAAAATAATTTATTAGTGTTTTGCAAAATTCTCGAGGTAAGTTACAAGAATATGCAATGAAACATAGGGGGTTTCATTTAAACAAAATGCACTTCCGGTCTGAATTGCCTATTTCCGAACGGAACCAAAAGAAAATATCACCATTCGATAGAACGCACCCGATTTACAAAGAAAATGTTTTTACTTTTTGAAATAACCACTTCTCTAGTTTTTAAATGGGTCGTACGAGTGGTCTGAAACACCCTGTATATGTATACATAAACACATGGAACATTTTTTTCACGATTGATTTTTCATACAGATCATTAGGATTAGCTATTCCTCCAAGAATCCGATTCTTGCAAAGAATGCAAAAGAAAATGTCAGCTGATAATAACATTAAGATTGAAGATGAAGAGACAAATAAAATACCAACCAATTTAGCAGATGATAGCGAACAGGAAGATGACGAAGGCAGTTCTGACACAAGTGACATCCCCAATACTACTAATGAAAAGAAACAAAATGACAAGAAAGATCTTTCTTCTCTTCAGCTTGGTAAGAAAATTAAACAATGTTTTATACAAACTTATTTCTGTGGCATGCAAAATACATTTAATTTCATGTTTAATTTTCTTTGTAGATGATAGTGATGATGATGACATATTAACTATAAAGAGGGAGAATATAGATCTCGTCGACATACCAATAACAGAAAAAGATGATAAGATTGCAAATAAAAAGAAAGTCATTACGAAGGCTGCGTTGGCCAAAAAGATTCTTAGAAAGAAGATCATACCTAATAAGAAGATTACATTTGATGATGAGGGACAAGTAAGAATTATATATACAGGGTATCCCAAAAGTTCCGAACTGGTCGAATATTTCATAAACTATGCACTTTAAAAAGAAATATTTCAGACAAAAGTTGTATGGCTTGAAGAGAGCCATCAGATAGTGGCAATGATTTGACATGGAAGAGTCATTTGAAAGTCACGTGAAGATCACTGTCAATTTCTTAAATGGAACTCCCTATTTTTTATTTCATATTCGTGTAGCTTATCTCGAGAGCTTTCCAAAACACTATAATTAAATATTTCTTCATTTAATTTTCGAGTTATGAGGCTTGAAATCATTTCTTAATTTTATATAAACCGTAAAATATCTTGTAAAATATTCATTTTTCGATTATCTTACCTTAATAATTTTATGTACAGAATAATGAGAGGAATCAATTGGTGTAAAGAAAAAACATAGTTGTTTTTAAGAAAAAAATATGTAATTTGCAATTAACAATTACATATTTTTTTTTAAAACAACTATGTGTTTTCTTTACACCAATTGATTCCTCTCATTATTTTGTACATAAAATTATTAAGGTAAGATAATCGAAAAATGAATATTTTACTAGATATTTTATGGTTTATGCAAAATTAAGAAATGATTTCAAGCCTCATAACTCGAAAAGTACTCAATGAAGAAATACTTTATTATAGTGTTTTGGAAAGCTCTCGAGATAAGCTACACGAATATGTAATAAAAAATAGGGGGTTCCATTTAAGAAATTGACAGTGATCTTCACGTGACTTTCAAATGACTCTTCCATGTCAAATCATTGCCACTATCTGATGGCCCTCTTCAAGCCATACAACTTTTGTCTGAAACATTTCTTTCTAAAGTGCATAGTTTATGAAATATTCGACCGGTCCGGGACTTTTGGTACACCCTGTATAATATTTATGTGTAATTTTATAAAACTATGATAAATTAGGAATTGCCTTACATACATTTAGATTAATAAAGGCTAAAGGAGTGTCTAAAAATATTCAAATTGAAAAAATCTTGTTCCGAATAAAAGTAGGAATTAATGAAAATATTTGTATTTTAGGAATTAATCGATTCTACCAAATCGAAAATGTCAACATTAGCTCGGCAGTACGAAAATGAAGTCGATTCTGGTATTAATATTGAAATAGCTAAACAAATCATGCGCGAGGAGGATCAATTTGATAAAAAGCGATTCAGAGAAAAGATTAGAGAAAAGCATAGAGAGGAAAAGAGGAAATTAAAAGCTAAGAAAAAGAAAGCAAATGACGAAGAGGAGAAAGATGTTTCTCTGCCTAATGAAGAAGTAGATGGCAATGAAGAAGATGACGTCAGCGAAGATGAATCTGGTGAAGATCCAGACATTTCATGGCTACCTGACCCAGATAAAATATATGGCAAGCAACGAAATACAGGTGAAAAGGCATCATCCGCCAACGAATCTGAGGAAAACGAGTCTGAAAAAGAAAGTGTGGTTCACAGGTAAAAAAAAAATTATATAAATCATAAATAAATTCAAAGATTTCTAATCCTTATGATTGTTTTACAGGCCGTCCAAAAGAAAATTAGTGACACAAGAAGAGTATAAGAAGACAAAGAAAAGACAGAAAGTATCAAACATTACTGATTTACAGGCCGATGAAGAATTAGCTTTGCAATTATTACGGAATTAATTCAAGTATTTTTTAGAAATGTAAATTTACATTTTATTCATATGAACATGGCATATATATATGTACAGTTCACAATGTTAATTAATAAAGTGTTATTTTACATTTTACGTTAGAATTTTAATTTATCCAGGGTAAAATTATATTAAAGCCATATATATCATATGAATATCTGGTCACAGCTTATTATTAATAAATTGACTACATCTTTTTCGCTCAAGTATGAACGAGCATTAGTTTAATTACAACGAGTATTTCGCATTTGTCATAAATTATTCTCATAGTAACAATAGTCACAATATTTCGTGAATTAATTCGTAGAAGAAAATTGTTATTTTTATAATATACATTGTATGTATTTTATATAAAATTCTGATTATTATTATATTACAGAGCACATTGTGATTTATAGCAAGAAAGTTGAAACCTGTCGAGGTCTAAGGATTTTCTAACGATTTTGTGCGAAATATTCTGCAGTTTCTGGCGGCCAAAATCTTAGGTCTGTTCTTTTCAACTCAACTGGCTGCACTAGGTCGGAGTTTCTTTCTTCCCTTCAATCTGGCAAAAACTCTAAGCTAGTTTTAGCCAGTGAAAAGAATAAAAACCTCTCGCTGCTGTATATGCTTCCCGGAAATCGTTTTATCATAATAATCATAGCTATCTTATATTATCTCACTAAAAAGAGAAGTCACGCAAGATTCTTGTATTTGGTTTTCTCCAGCTCCTACGAGAGATTTCTATCTAGGATAAAAATATTCAGTCTCAAGCGGTCGCGATTTTAATGTGTTTCAGTATATTATCGACGACTTCCCTGCTGGTCGCGGTGCCACCAAGGTCGCGGGTGTGCACCCCCTGATTAATTGTCTTGTTGATGGCGTTCTGTATAATGACGGCGTAATGCTTGTGACCCAGATGACGCAGCATATCGACCGCAGCGTTCAGCATCGCTATAGGATTCGCTATGTTCTTGCCAGCAATGCTGGTGCCAGTGTTGCGAGTCCCCGGCTCGAAGATCGTGTAATGCTCGCCGTAGTTCTTGCCGGCCAACAGACCAGCGCCGCCCAGCAGGCCGCAGACCACGTTCGAGACGATGGCTCCATAGAGATTGGTCGTCAGCACGACGTCGAACTGATGCGGATTCGAAACGAGCTGCATGCAACAGTTGTCGATGATCATATCGTTGTGAACGATGTCCGGGTAATCCTTGGCGACTCGTCGCGAGATCTCCAGGAAGAGGCCGTCCGACAGCTTCATGATGTTCGCCTTGTGGACCGTGGTAACCTTCTTCCGGCCGTTCCTCTTGGCGTAATCAAACGCGTAACGCGCGACACGCTCCGAGTTGGAGCTCGTGATGACTTTCATGCTCTCAACGACGCCGTCGACGCTCTCGTGCTCCAGCATGGAGTACTCGCCCTCGGTGTTCTGCCTGACGATCACTATGTCGATATTCTTCTGGCGGGAGTTGACGCCAGGGTAGGACACGCAGTGCAAGACGTTCACATAGAGATCCAACTCATTCCGTAACGCGACATTTCGTGAAATAACGTCGGCCTGAGTGCTGCGTGTCTCTATGTTACCCTTCAATGCCACTCCATTCCTGCGTATCGATGTAATTGCAAAATCCAGGTCAACATTGTCATCCGCATTGGGATCAATCTCAACGTCCTCGAAGTCTACTGGCACACCAGCGTATTTGAAAACCTAGAGAGAAATTGTAATTCAATTAATATTGTTAGAGAGCAATTAAAATTCGATTAATATGTGTTCTGAATAAATTTTGTCATTTTGTTTACACAGGGTGTGTCTGGACACGTGCGACAAACTTAAAGAGGTGACAGATCTCGATGAATGGAACAATTTTTGTCAAGCAACCCGTGTCCTTAAGGCGCCAGGCTGCGATGAATGATGTTTGATTTCTATATGGCTAGATTAAAATTAATAGATTAAAATATAATTAAAAAATCATACGTTTTTTAATTATATTTTATTACAATAAATGTTCAAAATGGCGATCTATGGTGCACTGATTGACGCACCCTCTGAAAAATTCCAGGATTATTGTGAATTGTATTAAATGCGTCAATCCTGTTAATAAGTTCATTTCGGGTATTAACAGGGATTGTACAGGGTGTTTCAGACCATCCGTACCACCCATTTAAAAACTAGAAAAGTGGTTATTTCAAAAAAGTAAAAAATATGGAACTGTTAATTGCAAATTACATATTTTTTCTTAGAAACAACTATGTTTTCTTTACACTAATTGATTCCTCTCATTATTTTGTATATAAAAGTATTAAGGTAAGATAATCGAAAAATGAATATTTTACTAGATATTTTATGGTTTATGTAAAATTAAAAAATGATTTCAAGCCTCATAACTCGAAAAGTACTTTATGGAAAAATAATTGATTAAAGTGTTTTGGAAAGCTTTCGAGGTAAGCTACAAAAATATTCAATGAAAAATAGAGGGTTCCATTTAAAAAAATGCACTTCTGAATCGCCTATTTCCGACCGGAACCAGAAGTTGAAAATATCACCATTCGATAGAGCACACTCGATTTACAAAGAAAATGTTTTTACTTTTTTTAAATAACCACTTCTCTAGTTTTTAAATAGGTGGTACGAGTGGTCTGAAACACCCTGTATACTAAGCTTTCGTAAACTGCGTAAATGTTCATCGCAGCCTGGCGTCTTAAGGAGGCATCGCTGGACATGGGTTGCTTAACAAAAATTGTTCCATTTGTCGAGATCTGTCACCTTTTTAAGTTCGTCGCAAATGTCTGGAAACAGCCTGTACAAAATTATATCTATAAAGTTTTTATAAACTGATATATCCTATATCATCAAGAATAAAATAAATCTTTAACCTTTATTAAATATATTCATATACCAGAGGGATTTATACATACTTTTCACGTATATAGATAAATCTATAAATAAAATCTAAATTTTCAATGTCAGTTCTTTGAGTGCAAAATTAATACAGTTTTCTATCTCTAAATTTGCACCATTATAAGCTACAAATTTTGAGTGATGTTTATGTACCTCCTTGACATAAGACATTAACTCTGGCCCGATACCAGCTCCAGGTAGCATGGTGACGGTATGCCTACCCCCATACTGTGCCTTAGGTATGGGCATCACCTTCTTGATGGTGGGAGTTTTGTGCTGAATATCGAAGCCAGACAGAGAAGCGCATCGGTGACTCTGGAACATCACGGGCTTCGGTTTCAAATATCTCAAGACCGAACGTGCAGCCATCTCGATCTATTGTTACGCTGTAAATATTTCACGGAATTATTTATATAATAAATTCAAATTTATTCGTTCGACGCAAATAATAACAGTAAAAAACAATGGTAGAAAATACGATGTTATTCAATACCAACCGTTACTTTCGTTCGCGTATGCTATTTTAACGAATACCCTCGAAGACCTTGCCTACCTTCACCAATCAACGGCGCACTTGAGCGCACTGCAGCGAGCGCAGCGCACCCATAACATATATAAGACTGATACGAGCATTGCCTATGAAGCTTAGATAGAGAGAAGAATGACAGATGGTTCAGGCCATGGTTCAGGCTAGAGATTCTCTAATAAGAGATTGGTCATCAGGGTCACTTTTGATTGGTCCGCCATTTTTAGGCAACTTCCTCTCATATTCAAATTTGAATTATCCTATTTTAAAAATAAATGATATTTATTAATAATAAATATTGTAGATAAATAGTGAAATTTTAATAATGATCTATATACATAATATTCATTATTATAAAAATGATATTTTAATTATAATGTACATATATAGATGATATAAGAAATATTACATGTATACAGAATGTCCCAAAAGTCCCGGACCGGTCGAATATTTCATAAACTATGCACTTTAAAAAGAAATGTTTCAGACAAAAGTTGTATGGCTTGAAGGGGGCCAGCAGATAGTGGCAACAGAGAGAAGACTGAGAGGTGTCATGGCCCGCTTTTAGGTGATCCCTGAAAGCGATACGCCCTCTGTTAATCTAAAAAACGTGGACATGAACTACAAAACCAAAGTCCACGAAAGTTCTCAGAGAGTAACATATATGTGCACAATTTCTGATTCTGTTCCGTGCTATGTAAAAAATGCCTGTAATATACGAAATGCCTATGTACACGAAATGCCATCAGTGCTGTATAGCAAAACGTATATGTATATAAATATAAATAAATTTTTAATTTTAATTTTTTAAATAAATTTTGTGGTCCTCTCTCTCTCCCTTTCTCTCTCTTTCTCTACACATACACAAATAAACACACACACATATAATATACAGAGTGGGGAAAAAGTATGGAAGCAAACAATTATTTCCGAAACTATTCATTTTTCGACAAAATGTCTTAGACATAATTTTTATGGTATGAAAAGATGTATTATGTGGCATAGACGGCATGACCTTGAAATGACCCTTACGAGCTGCATACAAATAACGTACAAAATTTCAAATGGAACTCGTCAGTTTTTGTTACAGATTCTTGTAGCTGATGTCGAAACGTTTATAAAACACTGCATATGAGCCCCATTCCCTTAAAAACACTCCCAGTTACGAAACAATTGTGATACAAACAATTTGTATGCACATTGACATTGCTTACTGATTTCGCATCATGACGTTCAGTTGCGTCCACTAATAACATGTAATTGTATCTGTTGTCATATGATACACTGTCTATGAGTATTCATAGAATTTTTTGGAAGATGAATAGTTTCGGAAATAATTGTTTGCTTCCATACTTTTTCCCCACCCTGTATATTAAACAATTTATCACGGAACCTTTTGTTATGCTAATTATGTGCATCTATAATTCGATTGTTTTACTTCGCGTTCTCTCACATCCTAAATTATATTTAGATTATCAAATAGAACGAACAAGTAACACGGATGAAATATATTTGTAATTCTAAATATTCAAATAATAATTATTGTCCGTAAAAATCGCAATTATCGAAGTGATTATTTAATATTTTGGATCCCTATAATTTAATCGATTTTCGATTAAATTGTGTATTTAATTAACAAAGATTGAGAAAATTTAAAGCATTGATCGAAATATATTTAATTCTAACATTATATTCTAATATTATAAAGAAATATTCTAATAAGTATCGATGATCGAAATATCGCCAAATAATCTCTTATCCTCTTTTATGTATAACATGTTTTAATTTTTAATCGCGGTAATGAATGATTGCAATACGATAAAGATTTATCATTGCAATACAGTTTCATGTCGTTAATTAATTTTTAATTAATTAGTTTTGTTAATATTTATAACAAATTATGTTCCGATACTAATCGTAATCGTGTTTAGTAAAAAAATTAAAGAATACGAAACGTTTCTCACCACTACTTTATTACTCGAAAGTCACCGTGCGAATGATGACAAAGCGGTAACGTATAGAGCTCTACTGTTTATATTTTATATTGCCAAAGTCGAACGCTGCGTTATCGATAATTTGTTTTTGAAATATTTTCATATTTTATATATTATAAAATATACATTAAGGCGGAATATTAAATTATGGAAGTATTTTAATTTATTGATTAAAATTCATTATTTATTAAACAATTTATCACGAATCTTTTCGTTATGTTAATTATTTGCATCTATAATTCGATTGTTTTACTTTGTGTTCTCTCACAATCCAAATTCTATTTAGATTGTCAAGATAAAGTGAACGGATGAAATATATTTGTGACTCTAATTATTAAAGTAATAATTATTGTCCGTGAAGATCGCAATCATCAAAGTGATTATTTAATATCTTGGATTCCTATCTTGGAATCATTTAATCGATTCTCGATTAAATTGTATATTATTTAATTAACAAGGATTGAGAAAATTTAAAGCATTGGTCGAAATATATTTAATTCTAATATTGTTAAAGAAATATTATAATAAGCATCGATGATCGGAAGATTATATTTAATTCTCTTATCCTCTTTTATATATCCCCTGTTTCAATTTTTAATCGCGGTAGTGAATGATTACGTTTCGATAAATATTTATCGTTGTGATACAGTTTCATGTCGTTAATTAATTTTTAATTAAGTAATTTTTGTTAATGTTTATAGCAAATTATGTTTCGATACTAATCGTAATCGTGTTTAGTAAAAAAAATACAGTATACGAAGCGCTTCTTACCACTATTTTATTATTCGAGAGTCACCGTGCGAATGATGACAAAGCGGTAACGTATAAAGCGCTACTGTTTATATTTTATATTGCCAAAGTTGAATGTCATCGATAATTCGTTGCCAAAATATTTTATATATTATAAAATATACATTAACGTGGAATATTAAATTATGAAAGAATTTAATTTATTGATTAAAATTGATTATTTATCAATCAATTCACGGAGTCTTTTGTTATGCTAATTATTTGCATGTAAAATTCAATTGTTTTAGTTCGTGTTCTCTCACAATTCAGATTATATTTAGATTTTCAAGAACGATAAAATAACATGGATGAAATATATTTGTGACTCTAAGTATTGAAATAATAATTATTGTCCGTCATTTAATCGATTCTCAATTAAATTGTATATTGTTTAATTAACAAGGATTGAGAAAATTTAAAGCATTGATCGAAATATATTTAAGTTTAATATTATTAAAGAAATAATATAATAAGCATCGATGATCGAAAGATAATGTTTAATTCTTCTATCCCTTTTTATGTATTTTCTGTTTCAATTTTTAATCGCGGTAATGAATGATTACGATTCGATAAAGATTTATTGTTGCGATACAGTTTCATGTCGTTAATTAATTTTTAATTAATTAATTTAGTTAATATTTATAGCAAATTATGTTCCGATACTAATCGTAATCGTGTTTAGTAAAAAAATTAAAGTATACGATGCGTTTCTTACCACTACTTTACTCGAGAGTCACCGTGCGAATAATGACAAAGCTGTAATATAGCGCGCTACTGTTTATATTTTACATTGCCAAAATCGAACATCGTGTTATCGATAATTCGTTACCAAAATATTTTATATATTATAAAATATATTGTACATTAACGTGAAATATTAAATTATAGAAGCATTCTAAGTTATGGATTAAAATTGATTATTTATTAAACAATTTGTCACGGGGCCTTTCGTTATGCTAATTATTTGCATATATTATTCGATTGTTTTACTTTATGTTACTTCATTTTACTCCGTATGTTCCAAACTTCCTTTCTTCTCTTACGTATCTTTCGTTATTTCTTTTTGTGGCATTCACTCACTCACGAAAATACGATTTAATTATAATTAATCAAATACGTGGCGCACTTTGCACGAAACTCTCAATAATCATACAAAATAATCATACTTATATACGCACTTAAATGATAAAAGAGCAACATGAGATTTACCTTTACACGAGATTAAAATTTCATTCGCTACTTGCTACAGCAATGCGTATGCTACTGATACGCATATTATATGCTGTATAATATACGAATTATAAGAATGAAAATATTAAAATAATAAATAAAGTTGTGATAGCAGTCATTTAATTAATAATTAATTTATGTTCACATTTTAGAAAAATTTGAAGTTTAGTTGTTTGATTGTAACGCAAAATATTAAATTGTAGAAGTTTTTATATTTATAGATTAATTAAATGATTATTTATTATTTAAACAATTAATTAGTATACGAAACGTTTCGTATCATTATTTATTGCTTGAATATCACCGAGCAAATGATAGCAAAACTGTAATATATAAACAACGCACTACTCTTGCCAAAGTCATGATTTTATTGATAATAAAATTTTATTGATAATCGTTGTCGAAATATTTTATGTTCTATAAAATACACACGCATAGAATATTGAATTATAGAAGTGTTTTAATTGATTGATTAAAATTGATTATTTATTAAACAATTTATTCATTATGGAATCTTTTATGTATAAAATATTTAAATATATTATTGTGAAGCAGTTTATGAAATATTACTATCTATGTAAAAGTGTTAAATAATATAAGAATATTTTATTATAGGTATTTTAAGTACATTAAAATAAGATAATCCAGAATATTTTAGATATATGTTATACTAATATAATTTAAAAACTTAAATAATTTAGATAATTTACAATGAGAGAGAGAGAGAGAGGGGGGGAGAGAGGGAGAGAGGGAGGAGGGGGAGAGAGAGAGAGAGGGAGGGAGGGAGGGAGGGAGGGAAGGAAAGAGAGAGAATCGTTATTGAGAAAACATGCAATATATAATATGATCTGAATATAAATGACATATATATATATATATATATATATATATATGTGTGTATATAATCTGAATATAAATGATAAAATGATAAATAATTTATAAACTATTTACCGGATAATGTTGCTTAGTACGTGGCCCAGTGCTTTTTAGACTTGCTTTTCCTTTCCTTCGCTATTTTTTCGTTGCACTCACTTTCACTCCTGAAAACAAGATTAATTAAGATTAGTTAATTAATATTAGTATACGCAAAAATCGCGAGACATTTTGCACGGCATTCCCG